GCATGGAAATTCAATAATGCCTTCTTAGCGCCACACACATATGGAGGGAAGCACTAAATTTGATTTCAATAATTCAATATTAGACAGGGCAAAAGTAGACATAAAGTAACAGCAACAGTCTTCTTTTGGGTTAAGAGCGACTGTTGGCTAACAGCCGAGAGGACTCGCGGCCTTTAACTTGGCCAACATCGAGCTCGGGTCCTCAGTTGTCTGCTGTTCGTGAGAGGAGCAGGACTTTCCGAGCTCCCCGTATTTTCAACACCCTCGAAAACGACTCGATTTCGTACGTAAATATTTATGTTTGGGAAACTCGCGTCCCGAGTTCGCGAGTGGGTATAAAAAACTACGAGTGCGTTAAAAAGTTCACACACAAATTGCATTATTTCCGCGCTACGATATATTGGCGCGTTTTTCATGCTTTGCATATTTTTTTTTGGTCCTTTTAACTGGAACAAAAGCGTTATGTATATGCGGGGAAAAAAAATTGGGGCGATTGTTGTGGATGTGAATTTTGCATAAGGACATGAGGAGCGGCACCCAGGAGAACAAACAGCGGAAGGGGCCGCTTTCATTCCGGACATAAGCACTTGGAAAAAATGATAATCTATCAGTTGAAATGAGAGAATATTTAATTTATAAATTATTCAGTATATTTATTATCTATTTTTTACGGTCTTTAATTTTGCTGTATTATAATCATCAATTTTATATGATCTTAATGTGTGTCAATATTTTTTTTCACTGCACATGTTGCATACACACTTTCTTGTGTGGCAGGCAGCTCGTTTATTTTAAAATTTCCATTTAAACCCACTGACTTACTTGCCGCCGCTGTTGTGGGGATCAAGTAACTTGTGATTCCTGGGGCCAAGTGTTTCCTCGCCACCTGAAAATTAGTCGGGAGCCCCCTGATTTACAGGGAATTTAAGTGTATTAAGGCATTAGGCCAGGTCGCTGCCTCGGGCTGAGAACTTCTCCCTTCCATGTGGCCAAAATGTAATTTTCTTAGCACTTTTGTTCACGCCCGACGACACATGTTGTGGTTCGCACACCCACACACCCATTCACCCGCATTTACCGCACCCATACATACAGATGGCGGAAGAGACACACAAACACATACACAGGGACACTCAGCAAGAAACCGCAGACACCGATACGAATGCCCCCGGCAGCATTTACATACTCGCCCAAACATAAGCATAAGCGCAACTTAGCTTGCCAAAGTTTTTTGTTCAACTTTCCGTTGCCGCAAGAGAGCTTAGAATGGGAGTGGAGTGCTTCTGACTGATTGATACCCTAAACTTTTGTGGCAGGTGAGGAAATCGTATTTAATGACTGCGAAAGTGTAGCCAGGAATATCACTCATACGCAGTGTGGTATGAATATTGGGTATTTTACTCAGTTCAATTTTTCTTATTTAAAATATGCCATTTTATTTTTGTTTTATATATATGAGTGATTCTTTGTGAAACGTATCGAGATTTTCTTCATGGTCTCAAAACGATATCTAATTTTTATGACACTATCACACCATTTAAAAAGGATTTTTAAAAAAGTTTCATATATGAATTGCTAAATTTTACCAAGAAAATTTAATTAAATTTAAATTACAAATATGACGAATATATTGGTCAAAAACTTTTTCTTGATAATAACCATGCAACATATTTTGGATACTTTACTATTTTCTTTATAATTTTTTTAGTGACCTTTTAGGAAAATAGATATTTTTAATTTTTGAAATCACTTTACACAGCTTTACGGCCAACATAAAATTCTCAACAAAAATACCCTATAGCTACTGGTTCGCATATTTAAATGCTCAAAGTCCGGAGTTCGAAAGTAGCTGCCAGAAAGAACGCTTATAGTACAATCTCCGTCCTCAAATCGTCTGGCTGCCGACACGCTTAGCTTCAGGCCGTGGGCTATGGCACTTTGGCACTTTGGCACTGGGATTGCGGCGGCTTTAATCGATAGCCACGCTAATAGTTTGGCCGTGCGACATGTGTGAATATCTGATGGGGCTGCATTTCAACTCCTGGCTGCCAATCATTTCACGCTTGATTGCCGTCCAAGGCCGCAGGCCCCGGAATCCGAATTCCGGAATCCGGTGCCATCCGATGTTGTCCGTGGGATTTGGGCTGCCAAGTCAGACAGTAAGTCGCTGGCTGAGCCAAAAGCCCAAAGCCCCCGGCTGAATGGCCGGCAATTCATCTAAATCAGGTTCGGCCGGCCAGTTCTGCGGTTGTGGCTTCAATTAATTAAAACAAATTGTATTTGCCCATGGCCCTGAAACTCGTCCGAGCAGCCGGGCTGCTGATGGCCAACCATCTCTCTTACATACACACTCATTCTTTTTTCAATTAATTGTTATTTCATTAGCTTCCATTACTCGCTGAGCCACCCACGCGGGCTATTAATGAAGTGGGCGCCCATTCACCTGGCTAGAAGGAGGAGCGGAGTGGCTTGATCCCCGGGTCCCGGGAGGTGGGCGTTATAATTTTCACTTTTATTGGCTTTTAATGAATGCGAAATTGCCAGGGATTATGAATACACTTGCCCATTATCTGCTGCAGGGCCATTAATTAGATTACAAAACGTGTTACGGGCTTTGGTTAGGGATTTAAGAGATTTTCCAGCAGAGGTTGTTTTTCAGCTTACCTTTTAGTGTTTATTATTATGTAATGTTATTTTAAATATTATAAATAGTAAAATATGTTCTTCTTTCAGTTGCCCATATATTTTCAAAAAATTAAAGAACTATATTAGTTTAATTTCCCAACTAGAAAATAGTACACCTGTGAACTACTATAAAATAGAGACTCTAAAAATCGGCAAGTAGCAAAATTCACCCAGAACGGATTCACATAAAAATCTAAAAAAAAATATTATATATATTTTTTCTATTTTACCCATCGTAAGCTAAACTGAAAGTGAAAACACTGCTGAGGGCCTCAGGTGCATCGAACAAATGTGATCGGAATGGCATTGTCACCGATTCAGTGGTCGGATGGTGGATAGCTGGTTTTCTGCTGCCGGTTGACTTGCATTCAGCAGCCGTCTCATTGACTTGTCAAGTGATGCTATCAAGCCGGGCTTGTGGTCGTTACACTGAATTTGCTTGTTTGTTTGTCCGCTCGGCTGCTGATTCACTTGTCTGCCGCTCGGCAATTGAATGCCACTCTGTGGCAATGGCAATGCACTCGCACTCCTGTGGGCTCCTGCCAGTCTGACTGCCATTCTGCGTGAGTCCTTTCAACACTTTGCACTTCCCGGCAAACAATCACATTCATTGACTTGCATTACGGTGTTTTGTGGTGGTCCTTCACTCACTCACACATCGGGGAAAATGGGGGAAAGGTGGGTGTTCAGTGTTCGGTATTCGATATTCGGTATTCCCTTTCAACTGGGCCACCGCCACTCGGCTGATTATTGCTTACTTATTGATAGCGAATCTGATTCGCCAAGAATGCGGCAAAAGCAGCGATAAGTTTGCTCCCTGCGTAGCCAGTGGAGCGTGCCACTTGGCAGCAGATACTTTCCACACGCCCACGTATCTGCCAGATACTTTTCTGACTTTCAGTTGGGCGTTAGTGAAACCTGCACACCATACAGATCCTGCTAAAAGGAGTGATAAACGAGATAGTAATTGTAAATATTTTCCCTGAGCTTATAACATTCGTGATATAATGTAAAACTCATAGAGAGCAGCATCCAAAAACACATGCATCATTTATTAAATCCTTTTTAATAGATTCTTAAATCAAAAGAGCAAATATTGATTTCATGGCATCGCCATGCAAAATGTTATTTATGTTCGCTTTTTGCATATTTAGTTTGCTTTTTCCATTATTGATTGTGAGATAGATTGGAAAGCATTTATGTTGGTGTTTATTTGTAAACGGGAGATTTAAGGGAAACTAAAAACGAGTTAGCCAAAAATGGCATCCAACCGCAGGCATTCCAAATACCAAATTCCCCGGAATATTTCATAACAAATTACGCTTTAAAGTGAGCACATGATGGGCGTCCTGCTTCGCTCGTCCCCTCCAGTGGCAGTTAACTTTTAATTTCCTCACCTGAGCCCGGGCTCACTTGCCCCACAGCGGGGGATTCCCCCACGCAGTCGTGAATCCTGAATCAGCGCCGCAAGCCGCAAAGGACACGCGGCAGACCGCAGTCAACAAAAACACAACGAAAAAACAACAGTTGAGCCCACTTTAGAGGTAATGGGGCGGTGCTAGTGGGTCTGGGTCGGTGGCTTCAGCCATTAGCCATTCAGCGCAGAGGCACTGGATTATTTTCATAATTGCCGCGGCTAAGTCGCGTTCTTGGCGGCTAAAAACACGGCAAGAGCGCAATTGGCGCTAATCAGGAACAGGACGAGAACGAGGACGTCCCCCGACTGGCGGCCCACTCAATAAATGACTTGATAAACATGCTGAAATGATTACAAAGTCAACAGCTTATTTGCCATGCCAGAGACATTTCAAATTCTCAACTCGCCACTCAACTGAATCAAAGTGCGTGGAGTAAGCACGATTTCTTAATTATGTGTACCCACGACTGCACAGAAAGAAATTAAGATCCGGATTTAATTGGGAACAGGATTAAAGGGAGATAAGGAGAGCCTTTTTGACTGTATGAGATTTATTTGTTCTTTATTTAAAAACAAGAATCTCAACAATTTTATTAGCATGCTTTCTCGCACTCCATTATTACCTTGATAATTCCAGAATGTATTTTTTTGGATGGTTAACGATTGTGTCAGCCTATAAAAAGAAATTGTGCAATTCAAATTTAAAGTCATCCAAAAAATTTATTTTTAAACAAGATCTCAGGAAGGAACCTTACTTAATACGTTTATACTAACTTAAAGTGAATCAAGAGTTTTATACAAATCTCAATCATTTCAAAATGACAAAATTTGTTGTTAGTTTATTAGGAGAATTAAGAGCTTCCTAAGAAAATACAATTTATAAATGTCACATTTGGGAATTCGATTAAATTCGATCCTAGAACCCCTGAAAATTGTTTTATGTGTGCTGTGGTGTTGACATTTAAGTTGGATGAAGAATAAAGTATCCATTGGGGGAGGCGGATGAGATGAGCCGCACACCCGCTTGTTGCTGGCAAAAACTTTTCATTATATTTATGATACAGCTTGACTTTTGTTTTGTTTGTTTAACTTCTTGTCAACCTACATAATCTGGGCCTCTCTGCGGCTCTGTTAGGATACTCTCTCTTTCGCTGTTAGCGAGTGCGCAGGTCGCCGGAGTTGAGAGTTGAGTTGGCAATTGAATTTCACAGTAATTTCCTGGCCACGACTGGCATACGCTTCAGATAATCGCTCGTCGGCCAGCGAGTCGGACGTGTTTTAGCCGCAACAGTGGGAAAAATAATAACAAATCGGGGGAGTGCCATTCGCCCCATTCGTACCTCGTTTGTCCATTCATAAAGCCGTGTCCTTTTACGCGAAAGCCACAACAAACTCGCATCCTGGAGGACAACGACATCTCTCCTCGTGTGTGAGTGCCAGTGCTCTTGTGTGTTCTGGTGTTCTTGTGCCGACAGGAAATACTCGACCCATAATAATTGCAAAGGACAACCAATTTGGTTGATGTCCATTCAGGTGAGCCAGAATTTGTCGACAGGACATTGTTATCGCGGCGCCATTATATTGTGTGATTTCTTCTAATGCAATTTGGGCACCAGGTACCTCATTCGATTTGCCCTGCTTTTATTTGATTTTATTGTGACTACTGCGTATTTGATTTGAGGCCGGACACCTGCGGGCAGGGCGTACACCCTTGAAGCTGAAGAGACGCCCATCTTGGCCCATAAAAGGCTTTCGGGGACTCGGGTTACGGCCACATTACCCACTCGAAGCGGTCGAAATATTTTATGGTCTGCCACTTAAGTGCATCGGTGGCACGAGCTTTTGTCTTGGCTTTTATAGTTGGTACTTGAATTTTAAACGGCTGTCATGTGTCTCGTGTTCTGCTAAGTGAAGACTCTTCGTTACCCGTAAATCTTTTGCTGATTAAGTTGCTCCATCGGCAGTTAAAAATTCAACAAGCAGGGCAGAAAATATTTATGCCAGCCGACAGAAACAGCGGTCTCACATGCTTTGCATATTGCTTATCTAAATTGTTTTGTTCGCAACGTAAGTGGGAGAAAGGCGGTGGGGCCATTAAACCGACTGAAGAACACACACTCTCGGCTAGGCAATTTTTCAATGTCACTTGAAGGCAGCAGAATTTTGACATTGGCCATTAATAAATTAGTGAGCATCTCGTGCTCGTCGGGATCTCCTCCTGCTAATTGAGTGGTAAATGCGAGGAGGCTTTGAAGTCAAAGTCCTAACAAAGTTCTTCTTGGGGGAGGAGTCCTGATATCGCAGCTCAGGAATCAGCATCACGCAAATCCAAATTAAAAGAAATGCCCAAGATCCAGGAGCCATCAACAGCTGCGCCCACGCCCCAGAAAAAGTAATTTGAGGCGCCCCGGCCCAACAGCCTTTCACCCCCGACCTTCTTTTCCGACTTCCGTCGCAGCCTTTCGCAGCCTTTCACACATCTTTTAGCACTTTGGCCAAAACTTTGCAGCCGCTTCGGTTTCGGTTCGGTTCGGGGTATATAAATAAATATATAAAGGAACTCTCGATGTGTGCGAGATTGTGTTTGCCTGTCTTGTTTTCCTACAAATCTTTTCAACAATTCAAAAATGTTTACTGGAACGAATTTATGGTATCCCTGTTGGCTCTGGCCCACATCTGTCCCCGTTTTTGTGTTCCTGGGCCTAAACCCTTCGAGGCCGTATACTCATTACACTCTTGTTGATTCTGGATTGAATGGATTTATGCGAAAACATCAGGAAGCGCATATCAAATGCAGAACATGAGAATTCTGAGAAGTATTTTTTCGGGCAAAGAAAAATGTTTATTTCCAACCGGCGAAAAGGCAAGCGAATCTTATAAAAAATGAAGGCGTTTAAAACGATAAAGACGGAGATTTCTTGGAAAGAAAACCAGTAATTTAAAAAACATGAACATGAGCTTAATTTTAAGGGTGTAACAAATTGTTGTGCGCTTGCACAAAAGCGATATAAAAAGCGAGGGATATCTTAAGCCAGTTTCGAAGATAAGTAGATAAATCAACCTGCGCCATAATCCCCAAAATGTACCCATTGAAAATCGAGCAGCCATCTATCATTCGGGAAATCTATTCACGGCGAGTACAAGAAACTCCCTCTTGGCTGTCATGTGTTGTAGCCGTAATCATTTGATTTGGATACGGTGGCAAATTCCCGCAGAGTGTGTTATCGCCCGGAGTTTGGGGCATTATTATGAGGGATAGAAGAGGAGGAACCCTAAGATACCCCTTGAAATGGCAGATGTTTAAACCGGATGTGGCAGTAAAGTGAGTTGTATGCTCCAGCAACAAATGCTTTGCGTGTCAGGTTTCTTTTGTGTTCTTTCCGTTGTAACTCATTTTCTCCGCTCTATATCATTTTGGGGTGTTAATTCGCAAGTGCCCGCAAGATGGCGTCGTCGTCTGGGTCCCAAAATAAACCACCCCCTCCGCCAGTTCCGCCCCGCCCAGTGATGGTGCCACGCCCCACAATGCTGCAGTATGAGCCCCACGAAAGTCTGAAAATCTCCAGATGCAGATTTATGGTTCTGGTTTATCTGCTCTTCGTGGTATTTCTTCTGCTCGCCCTGATCCAATGGGAACTTGTGTCCTACTAGTAAGTTTTCTTTATAATATTTGTACTATAATATTACAAGGGTTTTTTACTCAGTAAACCATTAGCTCATTTCTTTTTGGCCAACTACTGGCTGAGTGCAGTCTGCATGCTGATCTCAGTTCCGCTTTTAGCGGTTTTTCTGATGGTTCGCAAAGCTCGTTATATACCGATTTTTTCCTGGTTGCTGCTTTGCGTCATTGTAGGTATATTACAGCAGGATTTTCTTTTCCAGAATTTCTAGGCTAATTTTCAGATTGCAGATAGAACTGTTGGTTATTGGTATATGTACTTTGGCAGCCTACTGTAGTGAACTGAACTTTTTGCTCTATTTCACTGTAACTGCAATTCTGATGGTGACCTGTGTGCTAATTGGTTCCTTCATCCCCTGCGATTTGACCGCCAATGTGGCTGTCTTGTTCCTGGTCAGCATTCAGTTATTTTTGCTGAGCATATTCCTGCTTATGACCTATACGTTGATTGAATCAGGCGATGCATTTTTTATCTCCTTCGCAGTTATGATTATGCTCGTTATTGGTATGGTAAGAAAATGTTTAGAGTCTGGTATTTCCCTTAATTGTAAGCTTCCCAGTTTATCATGTACCATGCCCAACTGATCCGAGGGGGACGGTATGCGGAACTATACACCACCGATGGACTCTTTGCCGTGATCATCCTCTTCTGTCACTTCTGCATTATTCTGATGCTTTTCTGCTTCGGGGATTGGTTAAAAACCAAAGATGTCGAGGATTATGATATTGATGAGGGGACTGACGAACCAACGAAGAGTATTGAAGATAAATTCGGTTTTAGAGGTCCCAATACCAACGATTATGTTGAAGACGTAATAAACCTTTGATTTTAAATACAAACGATCTTATTCTTCTTAATGAAAATGTTATAAAAACTAAGTATAGGGTTCCTATAATTTATTTACAACATCAAGTTGTTCTAATTTTGTTAATATTTAAATAGTTTTATTTTCCCAATTATGAAACTATAGCTGCTCTGTAAATTCTGCTCCTGCAGGCGGCAGACAGTAATTTATTCGATTGTGCAATGGCACCGTTCACTTATTTTTCGCCAGGATAATCCCCGTCTTGTTTTAATCAAATTGAGTCGGGAATTATCTGTCTTTGGCATCGCCCGCAAAGAGAGACCAAGCGAGTAGTGGCCATCTGGCATGTGGCTCAAAGGATTCCCCCGGCTGGGAATATAAATTATCGCATTATGCTTGCAGCTCAGCTTTTTCGCCCGTCGCAGCCATGATACCAATTAGTATAATTACCAAGGGAAGGAAAATAAAAACAGTACTTTTAGTTGGTAAATACTTTATGAAAAGCGCAGTTCTCCTGCTTCTCCTGGCTTCTCGTTTCGCCATTGCTGTGCAGTGGGCATTAATTTTTATTAAATTGTTTTAATTTTTAAGCTGCTTACAAGGCTGTGCGGCCAGCTCAGCTGTCATTGGAGATTTTTTGGGTCAGACCACTCAGGACGTCAGGCGCCTGCTAAGCCCACTCGTCGACATTATAATAACATCCATCATTCTGGACCATACACAAATGACAACAACTGCCAAAGTAGCACACAAATAAAAATATAAACAAAACGGCCAGAAGCAGAAAAAAACAGAAAGCCAAAAGCAAGTTTTGCTTGGACTGCTCGCTGAGTAAACATGACATATTTTTGTTTACCCGAAACGTTTTCCTCGTTCTCCTTGTCAGAACAGTACGGCGGCTGATGGGCCTTTTAGGCCAGGAACGAATGAATGAATGGGCCCTTTGACCACCATTTAACCTGCCGTTTTGGCGCCTTCATACACTCGCCTTTATGCCACCAAAAGTATATACAGAGGCTCTTGTGCGAGTATGAGTGTTTATGCATCCAATAATAAGCAATTTCGTGCACATAATTGGCAGTGGCAGGAGTCGTCGAGCGGACAAAGTAAATAGCCATAATTAATGTATACAACATAAATGTGACCTGACCGAAATACGAAAAAAGCGGTCGAAGCTCACGAAACGACAGAGTCTCGAAAAATGTTTGTCTTCAATGGCGCACAGTGGTCCAAAATAAGTTGGGTCCTTTCTATAATTGAATTTAAACAAATTAAATTACATTGCTGCGGAATACAGTCTGAAAAATCCATGACCCAAAATATCCCTCGAATTGTTGGCTTAAATTTAAATGGGATATTTTTTTATATATTTTATAATTTAAATTTACATCACCATTAGATTCTCAAATTTTGATTTCATATTCCACTTTACAAAAGTCTCCATTGGGCCTTGCCACTGTAACCTGCTGAACGATATACGCTCTATAATGCGTATACGCCGCGTTGTATACAACGAAAAATGTGCAATAAAGACGGCTTCTTCATTGATACGCAAAGCAGCGATATGGGCATCTATATTGTATAATGCAGACTGTATGTTGAGTGCCGAATGTTTGAGCCAGCAATCACTGAAATCGTGGAGGCTGAAATGTGGGTGAATGCGGACGAGAAAATGCGGAGAGGAAAAAAAGCATCAGCCGCAAAATTGGCAGAAACAACAGGAAAATGTTTTTCGCCGGCGTCGCGATGCTGTTTCGCTGATGTCTCTCCGGCTGATTGCGTTGGCGAAATCGCATTGACGGGCGACAACACAGCGAAAAAAGACGAACAATATCACATTTTATTAAATAATCCATCAATGACAGATTTTTGTTAAAAATAAAGTAAATAATTTAAACCTTTATTGTATTTTTTCCTGTGCTGAGCAGAAGGAACGACACATCCTGCGGATATTCGACGGCCTAGGGTGGAACATTGCAGGAAGTGCTGCTATGTGTGTGTGTGTTTGTACTTGGACACCCATCAAGGGTCTGAAGCATTCTCATTATTATAAAAAAGATGAGAGACCGGTGGTCCGGGAGGGCGAAGTCCAAATTAGATTTGCACGTTGTGTCAATGAAGGTTTGCTGCCTTCAGCGCCACCCGGGCGTCATTTAATTTTCATTTAATTTGGGAAAACACATTTAGGCGCGCGCGGCAAGCTCTAATCAGGCGCAAAGCCTTTTTATTCTGATAATAGTAAAATTAAATAAATGCAAACTGCTGTGAAAATTTGAATTTGAATTTTGGGGCCCGGGCACAAAAGATGTCTGCGCAATTTATGCGCCTCCCGCCGCGGTCCTTCGGTCCTCTAAGGGTAAGCCATTGTCATTGTCGAGCGACGGCGTTGACAGCTGCTCCCCGAAAACCATCAGCCCCTCGTCTAGGCTCCCCGAAAAACCCAGCCAAACCAAAGAGACCCCACCCTCTTGATGGCCGCCTTTTGTAGCCTGCATCGCTGTGACATTTTTATTACAAGGGCTCATGAATTTTATTTGGCTCGCGAGCAACTGCTGCCGATTTTATGGGAATTCCGCCCCCGCGGCATCAAATTTTCGGTTCCTGACATCCGCTGGACGTTGGAGCGAAACTATTCGCCCAAGACGATCGAAAAGAAATTGTGTGCACAATGCGCTGCCCGCAAACAACTCTAATTAAAAAAGTTTTACGTTTAACCACTTGAGTTGGCTCAAACACACCCATGCAGGCATGTGTGTACGTACACTGGGGAAAATTAAGGGAAAATGGGAGTTTTTTATTGAAATTAATATTAAAATAATTTAAGAATAAATCCAATATATTTAAATATGTGAAAAAAATAAATATTAATACTTGCAAACAAATAAAAAACAAAATTTCAAAAACATATGAAAAACTAATATTCTAAATTGCAATTTTTATCCAAAATAAATAAATTACTGATGAATTTAAGGTTAATACATTGCAATACAACAAGAAGGTCAAATTTTAAAAAGTAAACAAAGTAAGTTGTCTTATTAAATAAAATTTATGATTAAAATCAGAGTTTATATGCATGTAAAACAGGAGAAAAAATTCCAAAGAATTTCAAAATTTATGACAAATTGCAGTAGCGTTTATTCCCCGTGTGGCATGTTTGTGGCATGCGAGTGTGTGGCTAGACAATCAAAACTTTTGCCACAACCAAGGAAACTTCAAAGCAAAGACAACAGGCGGCCTATGCGAAAAGGCAGTGGAAAAGTGGAAATGGGAAAGGGGCTGGGAAAGGGTAAGGGGAAGGGAAGGGAAGGCGGTAATAAAATTAATGAAGCGCCTCGGCTTTTAGCCGGCAGCCATGAGAGAGACATTAAAGCGGTTCGCCGGAACAGTTGTAGGTCATGTCATTGCCAATGTCTGTTTAAGTATGCGCACAAAGACTGCCGTTTTGCAGGAATTACAAGGACGAAGATGGGGATGGGGACAGGAGCAAGGGACTAGGACAATTTCCCCGCGGGACAGCGGCCTCCTTGTTTTTGTTGATGGCGGTAGCTAATCTCTGATGTACACTTAATTATGTGGCACACTTTTGATTGCCGGGGGACTCGAGCCGGGTGTCCAGGCGGGAAAATGGCAGAGCAAACCCTTTCAGGTTGGTCCACCCTTTTGGCCATGTCATGTAAATTTCATTTGGCAAATGCTGTTAGCTCGGCAGTCGCAAAGTATGCTACACTTTTTGACATTTTCATTCGACTTGGCAATGCAAACAAAATGGACGGAGAGCGGGGTGCTGGAAATTCATGAATGATAGAGGTTCGCACAGGACACCGAGGATGGGGAGCAGGAGGAGGAGTGGAGTAGCCTTTATCTAATCCGGCTGCCAGCTGAAAAAGTTCCCAGCAAAGTTTCCAAGTTGAGCGCCAAAAATTCTTATCACAACTTGCAGTGCATTCCATCAATTTTGCACCACTTTCAGTCCACCTTCCTTCCCACCACCCCATCTCATCTCATCCCCTATATCTCCTCGCCGTGCTGCAATAAAGCAATCAATTTTGAGTCCCCGCCCCCCGGCTTTTCACCCCCTCGCACTTTTCCATCCTGGATGAGCGACACCTTTGACACGGGCCAGTGAAAAAGAAAAATATCGACGCGCAACGAGTTATTCAACCGAATTCGTAATTGTTTTTAAATGAAACTCTTTGTCCTTGGCCATGGCAAGTTGGCAGCAATTCAGCAGTTCGCCCGGCCCTCAATCAATCAAACAATCAAGCAATGTTTATCCGCCGCGCTCGATACCGACAATAAGTAACGAACACGAATCGCGAGACTGAGTCGCTCCTTATCGGATTGTCTATGCCGCATATTGTCTGCTCATTTGGACTATTTCTGTTTGCATTATGCGCTATTTGCACATTTGATTGAATAAATTTATGTACACTTGTCATGCAATCGAAAGATTAGGACTCAGGACGAGGGAAAAGCCTTGGTCATTGATCCCCTTTAAGCGTTGGAACTCAAAAAATTAAATACAAAGAATAAAAAAATAAACTAAACCTAAACGAAAATGACAATCAATTCTCCGTTAAATATTCTCCTAAATTCAAGATTATTAAGGGTTGAGGAAATACAGAAAAAAATTAATTGTAATTAATTTGAATAAATAATTTTAACAATAAACAAGTCAAAAAAATGTTTAAAAATTTATTTAGTGATAAGAACCACACACATATTTTTCTCATAACACAAAATAACACACAAAATTGTGGCAAAATTATATTAACTTTCAAGCGCACTCAAGAATCAAATACAATTTAATAAAGTTATCTCAAAGAATCCTTTTAGCCTCCAATTAAGAGTCTGACAACTCTGTTAGCTATTAAGTAAGCCATAGCACAAACTATGTATAAACGCATTGCGCATACGCACTGTTGGCCGGCTATCAGTCCCGGCAAATTAATGCGACATGGCAGCAATTAGTCCTACGCTGCTAAATGATTTAAAACTTGCGCCAAACTTTGTCTCCCCTCCGCCTGTTTGTCCGCAACATTTTGCGCAAACTTTTAATTATTACACACTTGCGACTTGTTGTTCAATTTGCTCGCGATGCTGCCAGATTATAAACTTTTGTCGAGTTCAATTATGTACGCCGAATCGTCGGCATTGTTTGTTCTAATTCGCTCCATAAACTTTTTGGATGTGCAATTAGTGACCGGCGGAACATGGCTTTAATTTTTCATGAAACTTAGACCGACTGTATCTCAGAAGTCCGGGGGTCCAAAATCAAACTATTCATCTGTTTCTATCGCCATGTTCGAGGCAAATATTAGCATCTGGCCGTTTTTCCACACCGAATCGGTCGAGGATCGGCGGAAGTATATTATAAAAGTTTTCCTAGAGTTTGCTGGATTCGTTCTGATTGGATTTGTGCATTGGATCCTCATGCTGACGTTATTGCAGTAAGTTATAGGGTGCTATTTTTCATGTGTTAATATATATTTTGTGTTAGGGATTGGTTTCTTGATTTGGTAAGAGAACACTCATCCGCCTTGCTTCTGGCCTTTGTCATAGGCATTTTCCTGCTCCTTTTATTCGCCATTAGTAAGCCCCTCCGGAAAATGGCCTTTGTGAACTGGGTTATTACCTTCACTATCGTGAGTTATCAAAGGAATTTGTAAACCCAATCAGATTGAGTACATTGCATACTTTGTTCAGCTGGAATGCCTTGTGGTTTCTCTCAGTGTGCTGATTATATCTTCGGGAATCCTATACATGCTGGCCGGATTCTTGATCGTCGCCGTGGTAATTGTGTTTTCCTGTCTGACAGCTGCTTTAATGCCGGTTTGTATCCTCAGTAAAACTGGAGAAATTCTGAATGCCTAGCCCCCCACAGTTAGACCTCACTGGAACCGGAATTTACCTATATATGCTGGCCACTGGCGCCTACATGCTGAGTCTATATTCCATGGTTTTGTACACAGTCCTCGAAGTGACCTGGGGCTTTTATCTCTTCGCCACAATGATCGCCTGCGTCGTAATAATAGTAAGAAATGGCCATGCAACTGTCCTCAGCATAACCATAAAATCACTTGCAGTTCCTCATGTATCATGTGCAGTGCATAATGGGCGGTAGGAGGGCCTCGACCAGTTTGTTCGATGACAAGTTCGCCGCCCTGCTGCTATTCCACGAGTTCGTCGGTCTCTTTGTGCTAACCCTCTACTGGCGACCCATAATGCAGCGCCTGCAGTTGAAACAATAAACGAGCAGTCGGTCCTATTCAATCCCCATGTATTTCAGGCAGTTTTCCAAGCGGCTTGCAGCCGGGCCCTCCAGAGGTTCCTGCCTCCGACAGCCGCCGGGTCCTCGCATGTGCAGACTCACATGATCCCGACACTCGATCCGCCCGTCTCCGTTGCAATCGGCTCCATATCGCTGCACATAGCCACGCACAATGGTCCCGGCACACTGGTCATCCACCACGCATCCTTCGTACTCTGCGGAATGGAGATTGGAATTGGGTTAGTCGGTGGGCAGTACACGCTGTGTAACGGAGATTACACAGAGGAAAAAATTTAAACAAGAACATCCAAAAATCATCAATATCTTAAAGCATCACTGAACAAAAAATGGATATTAAATTTCAAATGCTATTAAAGGCCTTCAATTTTAAAACTGAATCTATGGACTAAGTGCTTTTGGTTGTTTTTGTGTATAACACACTTATCGATGGTAAATTTTGGAGAGTGGCCTTGTTCGTCTTTCTATTCGCAAATAGTCTTTAATCGGTAATAGCTTTTGTTGCTTTCCAGTTTCTAATCCGAATAATTAATGACTTGCTAATTAGTCAGAAACAAAAGCTAACAGATTATAATTCCAATTAATAGTTTGTGGATTTGTGACATCTCAATCTTACAATTATAATGGAAATTGTGAGAGAGAGTTATCAAGATGAAAATAAATATATAATTAATATTAAACCTATGTTCTTGGTTTAGTTAAGATAGTTATTAATGTTTTGGGATTGAAGCAAAAGATGCACTTAGAGTGAATTTGTTTTTGGCTTTTTCAAGGTATTTCTTTTTAGTGTATGCCTTACCCTGTGCCAGTGAGTCGCCCGGGTCAATTATCCCCAGTGTGTCCTGCCAGTAGCCGTGGGAGATGCGATAAATGCCGCACGGCTCCTCACTCCGCCCTCGGTTCTTGCAGATGGCTCGAGTGTTATTCGTGGCCGTGGTGGCGATGCAGGCCAGGCACTGGACGCTCAGCTGCGTTGGAGATTCCGGGAATGTTGTTATCGTCTGGGCAGCTGCAAAATGCATTCCAAAGACAGGCCCAATTAGCCGTTTAATCGAAACTATTTACCACACAATATAGCTAACAGCATAGTTGGCAGAGGGTTCCGGTTCACCCTACCCTCCCCAAAGACTAAATAACTCTTAGACCTCACGTTTTAACCACACTCATCTTGAGTTGGAAACTTTTAAGAAAGCACCAACTGCAAACTGGGTATGTTTTATTAGCAGTTTGGGCCCAGCAACTTTAAATTGCAGTTCTAGTAACTTTAAATTGATGTTAAACATAGTTTGGAATACTTTGGCCGCATAAATGCAGAGATGCATTCATATGCTGCAGCTAAAATTAACTTTTGATTTTCATATACACACTCTCAGCTATTTTACATATATAAGCTTTTAGCAAACTTTTTTATTGACACTTAAAAATGTGTTCTTGTTTATTAGCAGTTTAATCTCAACCTTTTTATGCTCGGTACACTGTGAATTACTATGAAAAATTTAATTGAGTGATTAAAAATGTAATGATTTTTTTATTTTAAGACAATAGATTGTATTTATTATCACTATCTGCTGGCTCTCCTAATGGCGTTTCTAATCAGTCAGCTGGGAAAGAGAGAGAGGCAACAAAGTAAACCGCTTATAAAATTATCCGAAGGCGAAGAGCTTTCAGCGATTGAACAAGGGTGCTTGAGGCAGCGGCACTTACCCACACCCGAGGCGGTGACCACGGGAAAGTCCTCCTCCAAGGCGTCCAGCCTCCCCCGATCCTTGAGATTGATGTGCAGTCGGCCCAGATGATGCTTCTGTCTTAAGTGCATGTAAATGGCGCCGATGATGAGCAGCAGGGCGATGCAAATGGCGGCCACACTTAGGACCTCTCGGGTGCAGCAGGACCTCCGATTCCAGCGACGTTTACTGCGACTTTGGCCGGACATTGAGAGGGCTTCGGCGTACTCCTGATGGTCCGCCACCTTGGAGGCGTCCGTTTCGATATCCTCACTGTTTTTGGCCAGCTCTGCCACACTGGAGGTTGGCTCCATGGCGCTATAGCTTCTCCCTAGGCGGTCGCAATCGGACTAACCCCATAAAGCTAGAAGTTCCGTAGCACCAAGTTACAGGTGCTGCCCGAGATAACCTCCCCTCGATTATCGCTCAATGTTGTCGGCGTAATTGATGCTCACTGCTTGCGGTTTCTCCTCTCCGTGTTTTGCTCGAATCAGCTAATCTGTTCCCGTTTTTGTTCTGACATTTCGGCGCTTTTTCTCCCATTCAAGTGGCGCTCACCAAGTCAGTTTTTCTCCAGCTCTCGAGCATCAGCCAGTCGTACACCTGAACAAATCCAAACTCATGTGGTTTTCATTCACAAATGTTGCCCGAATTTAATTTGGTACTATGTTTATTTTATAAACATAAAGACGGCAGCGTTGGCGACCACACCGTGATTATTTTGCGAATAATCCACAAACTAATTTACGCGAAATTATTTCTATCGGGCGTTTTTATTGTTTTGTTTCGCAAAAATATTTGCAAACATATTTTTCAAATGCGAAATTCGGTGTCTGCATTTCATTAAATGTTTTGTTTATTTTTAAAGCATTTTTCCGTGGGCAATTTGGAATCGTACTTTGCTTAATTTGAACGTTTTGAATCGAATTTATTCCCATTTTGAATTATAAGCATTTGGAAAGCTTGGCAGGCTGACAATACTTTAAAAAGTTTGCTTATTTGAACAGGTTAGGTAATCTCCAACCTAATATTACTAATATTACCAACATAACCGGTTAAATATAACTTAACTAAGTTCCATTAAAATATAGAGAGTTTTTCGTAATTAACATAAGTTATATGGAAACGTTGGAGAAATAAATGTTTGCGGGGTTTAAGGGTAAATTATCGGATATAAGAAATATTTTTATTTTTGTAAATAATATTTTTCTCTGTGTAACCCTTGGATTGGGTGTCGATTCCATTTGCGACATGACAACTTATGGCAGGCGTCCATCGAAAGGGAAAGAGAAACGCGATGGGTGCCGATATTTGCCAAATGGGATGGGAGGTGTTGGGTGGTTTGGCCGACAACCTTGCGCATTTGTATGCGCGAATTGTAAACAAATATGAGAAATTGTTGAGAGTCTTGCGGCGAAATTGGAACGGTAAAGTGGGGGCAGCAAACAACAGCAGGCGTTTTAGAATGGGAAACAGGATCCGATGGCATGGTCGGTGGAGGAGGGGTGGTGCCATTCAAAGGGGTGCGAACAGGACGTGCTCAGACCCTCCTGAAGTGCCACTTGTCGTACGCAAACTTACTCCACGACCATCGTAATCTGTCAACAGCAAAGTGTGGGCTCACGCGTGCAATGCATATAAAGATACGTATCTCTGTTTATTTCGCATCTATTTATATTATTTTTAAAATATCATCGATCATCAGGTTTGTGCGAATCGCTGTGGTGGAAAAGATTTTTCTGTCTCGTTCCGTTTGCGAGAAGTGATAAGAAAAGAAACGATTCAAAAGTTTTTCCATGTGGCGAATTTAAGGAAGAGTGATTGGCATTAAGGAGTGACTGCAATCCATTTCTTACAAGTTGCTAAAGGATAAATAATTTTTTATTGGAAAAGTAAATAGGAAAGCAGAGTATATAGACTCCTTAGAGAAACTTTTGATTTATGATGGTGATTTTATTTATTTTATAGTGGCTTAATCTCCAAAATTATTTTCAATTTCACTACAAAAGTGTGCCTAATAAATTTAAAATAAATACCATTTTATCATTGACTCAACCCACAGTCCATAAATAAAGAACACCCCCTTTTGGGGTACGCCTCTGAGCACCTCCTGCACAGGTGCTCGGCAAATAACAGAACTGCTCCGTCACTTAGTTGATTATTCTTTCTGTTTTTGCACAGCAGCCATTTCCACATTGCCTCGCAAATGTCGCCATTGTCTCAAGGCGTTTCCGTTGCCATTTCTGTATGTTTTTCCTCTTACGGCCAAGGCAAAAAGTCATTTGTGTGCGAGGGTGTATGGGTCCTGGCCCACCAACACATGTGCAGATGAAAGGACGAGCCGAACCGCAAGCCAAAATCAATTATGGAAAAATTACCAGTAGTTGGGCTAAATGGCCTTTATGCGGCTGGGGAACTGGGAAACTGGGGGGACTCGGACTCGAATTCGAATTCGGCTGGGGGTGTCGCCTTGTATGTGAAATAATATGCGGTGAATTCTTTTCTTGCAAATTTTCCACTCGAATTCCTTTTGTTAGCTGGCATTTAAACCCTCGTTCGACGGCTTTTCCCCTCCCCCCTCTTCGTTCAAACTGCACGAAATCGGGGAAAATGAGCTGAAATCTGAACGCGAGTACGACGAGCACTTGGTGCACTCGATTATGGCGGGCGCCAAGCTCCCATCGTTCGGCGGTAACGGTAACGGTAACGGTAACGGCTCTTTCCGGTCTGATTTTCCCACCCACTTCCCCTCTCTCTCCCTCCTTCTCTTTCCGCTTTCCCAGCTTTTCCGCCTCGTCCTGCCGCTGCATGCGATATGCATGAGTTGAGCCAATGTGGCCATTCCGGCTGATGTACACGGAGCACGTAGCATGCTAAAACAAAGTTAATTAGATTTGCGGCAAGATGCCCATTATGGCTTGAATGAGGGGGTCAGGCAATAGCCCTTTTAATGTGAAGAGTGCAGCTGGTTTTTCAAAAGTTCCTTTTCATTGGCTTTGATGAACTGGGGGTTTTTGCCAATTTAACACGGAAGCACGGATTGGCTTAGAAAATCTGGTATATTTGTAAATTTTGCTTATACTTTTTTTTGGATTTTTAAGCTGATAGGTTTTATTATTATTTACTAAGAACTTCTTAATAAGGCTTAGTTAACTTGGAAATACTTGAATTCAGCTTAAAAACATTGGGAAAGTGTTACTATTTGAAATGGTTCGAATTTTCCATTTCTAAGCCGATTTGCATTGCCCAACTTAGGATTAAACTAGTTGCAATCAAAAAAGGCCAATATCAATTCAGCATTCCCCTAGGAAAACTGAAATACATTTTTCGAAAACTGAAAAGGAGCTTAAGCTTACTTACGTTTTTAATTCCCAAACTGTTGCCCATTTTGTTATTATTAAAACGCCACAAAAAGTTCTCATCTTATAGTAGTTATGATCAAAAAGTTCACTACATTTCCGGAAAACTTCACTTGAGCAACAAAATGGTAAGGATGTAAGGAAAATTCGCTAACAATCGGATTATTCCTGCATTTAGCTAACAAGAAGACTTTTCCCCACTGCAGAGATAATCCGTTTTTTTTTTGGGTGACGGGTATGTGGCAGTCGAGGATTCGTTTTCCGGTTGCATTTTCCTCTTACTTTCTCGTCGGGTTCTGTGTGGTTTATTCGTCTGGATGGGCTTGGGGCAATTACCGTGCTTAATGGCCTCCAAAATGTTTGCCACCCCCCCTTTTCTTGCTCGCTCCTTTGAGCAGATGGCGTAACTTTTTATATTTACGAGCTGAATGCATTTTTACGTCTTTACATCTCTTTTTTTTGCAGCTTGGCGCGGCTAATGCATTTGGCTCCGGCATAAAGTTTCTGCCACCACCATTTACCATTTACATACACATGCAAATGTCGGCTTGTTAACGACAAAGTTGAATGATTGAAAATGCAAATTGCAGCCGCAACCTGCAACTTGCAACCGATTTGCTGCTAAGCAAAAACAACAACGACGGTGCATCAACGCCGCAAATTAAACCACCGGCGGTGGTGCCGACGACAACCAGTTAAAGTGGCGGAAATGACACAGTCAAAATGTATCGCTGCAAAAATTGGTTTTGTGCGCGCAGCAACAACAACAACTACGTCGATGTGGCACTGAGCGAGGCGCCACCCAGCCATCATACAACAACAACAACAACACCGAATAGCCGCAACAACAGCGCCAGCAACAATAACAACGTGCGGAGCAACAGCAGCAAAAGCAATCAGCAGACAAGCAGCGCCACCACAGCGAGTGGCTATAGAGGGGGTACAGGTGGTGCCAGCACCACCACCCAAAGCCACCACCACCCGAACGCCACCCACTTCGCAACCGATGAGCCGTCACCGCCACAGGCCCACGTGGTCACCTTTCTGGACGAAACCACTGCGAGCGGCAGCAACGGGGCCGTGACGAGCAGCCGGCTGGTCACCACCGCCGAACTGCACCAGGCCCACATGCTGGAGCACCACTCGAACCTGGACGCCATCGAGCAGGCGGACGACTTCATCTACGGCCCCGGCGCGGGACTCTCGCTCTGCGACGACAGCCTGCCGTCGGCCAAAAACTGCTATCGACTCGTCATGCTCGGGTACGCAAACGACCTGTGGATGTGCACTGAAAAAAAATGGGATATCATTTATTTCTTTCTATGCTTTCATTTGGAAGCGCTTTAAAAATGCAAGGGAGTTTTTAAATCTATTTTAAGGCCGCCTAAAAGTATACTGTGCAAAATATTACGCTGACCTTTTCCTGGACACGTATTGTTGCATACTTTTAAGCAGTTTTATAAGCGATTTAAAAAATTTAGTGAATTTAGTTAGTTCTATTTAATGCCATCATCTAAATTTATTGTTCTTATTTTTATTTCATCTTAAAAATTAAAAATCTCCCTAAACCTGGATTTCTTTCACTTTTTTTCATTTTGCTTTTTTTACGAACCCTAAAAGATATCCCACTTTTCTCACTGCAAAAATCATCGAATGGCTGACGCCGATTCAAGTTAATTTTGAGCTTTCATTGGCGTTTCTCTGCATTGCGTTGAATGGACAGCGTCAATTTCAAATCCAATCTCGATTTGCAATTTTCCTTCCCTTGCAGCTCATCACGCGCCGGCAAGTCGTCGATTGTGGCACGTTTCCTGGGCAATCGGTTCGAGGAGGCCTACACGCCGACCATCGAGGAGTTCCATCGCAAATTGTATCGCATACGGAATGAGGTCTTTCAATTGGATATTTTGGATACTTCTGGCTATCATCCGTTTCCCGCAATGCGTCGTTTATCATTTCTAACTGGTGAGTGTGACGTCTTGGCCCCCAAATAGTTGCATGTGTGTGCGGCATTCCGAGGATGTGCGGCAATCGCCTCGAACGCACGTTCTATCACTTAAGTTCATTGGGTGCCATTTAATGTCCTATAAATTATCATAAAAATCAGGCTCAGCTGCTGGTAAACAAAGTTGGGTTCTATACCCTTTTGAAGCGATATCAGGACAGTTTCGGTAACTTTCCTTGGCCATCAAGGGTGTCGTTAATATTTGAACTCAGAGACCTTGAATAGTAATTATGTAGGTCAAAGGACCTTGAAACTATCTTTGCATAAATTAGTGGTAAGCTATGCATAATGTATTTGGAAATAACTAGATAGACCACGAAATAATTATGGTTATGTTATTAAATTTGTTAATGCAATAATATATTTAAAATGTTATTTTCAGGCCTTATAATTATGTTAATTGTTACTTATGACTAGTACTTGCGAGCTGTTTAATTCAGAAAAAATATCCTTTTATTCACATGAATTCGTTCTGGGACCACAAAAAAGAAAACTTTATTTATTGTTTAGTCACGCCCCCCGATAGCTTCTTTTGACCCACAAAAGCGTGCAGAAGTATAAATACATATGAATGGCAAATAATATGTAGGGTATTCACGTATCAGTGGCATGCGGCTATTGATTTTCCCATTCCCTACTTTTGGCTACCGAATTACCCTAAACAACCCAGACCTTACACACAATCTCGAACACATTAACATAGCGGAGATGAGCTTCAGATGTCAGGAGCGTTTTATATAGTGTCTGGAAAATTGGGTATGCGGGGTCATAAATAAGCAATAAATTTGCATTTGCTAAATCAAACGACGATTAATGCTTCCCTTTATGGTTTTTCGGTTGCGATTGCAGGGGATCTCTTCATCCTCGTCTTCAGCATGGATTCCCGTGAGTCCTTCGAGGAGGTCGTACGCCTGCGGGAGAATATCCTGGAGACCAAGTGGGCAGCCCTGAATCCCGGCTCCGGCTTCAAGAAGAAGAGTCTTCCGAAGATACCCATGATATTGGCGGGCAATAAATGTGATCGAGACTTTAAGTGAGTGCTGGTTGATTGAAGATTATTTCTCTGAACCTTCTTTATAAGTATTTACTTTATAATAATACCCTTTTCCCCAGAACTGTGCAGGTGGACGAGGTAATGGGCTATATCGCTGGTCAGGACAACTGCTGCACCTTTGTGGAGTGCTCGGCTCGTCAGAACTACAAAATCGACGACCTCTTTCACTCGCTGTTCACGGTCTCCAATCTGCCGCTGGAGATGACCCCGAACCACCATCGTCGGTTGGTCTCTGTTTTCGGGGCGCCCTCGCCCCTCCCACCCCACGGATCAGCGGTGGGCGGGACCAAGAAGAATGCACTCTCCATCAAGCGAAGATTTAGCGATGCCTGCGGGGTGGTGACCCCCAATGCCCGACGACCCAGCATCCGCACCGATCTCAATCTGATGAGATCCAAGACTATGGCTCTGAACGAGGGCGAGGGGGTGAGGAATCCCTCGCGTTGGAACCGCTGCGCCCTGATGTAGAAATTGAGAGGGCAGTGTGATAGTAGTGAAGGGCGGATCCTTTGCGATCCTCCTATATCTGGGCAATCCCGGCGGTCGGAGCAGCAACTAATTATAAACGCAGCGTTTGGGTGATTTCGATATTATAGTGTAAATACTCGTTTAGTCAGGCCGCGGCCAGTGTGTTGAGAATATTAATTAATTATGCATTTAGCACTTTCTCGCCATCTATGGACAAAGGCAATTAAAAAAAAAAAAGAAAAACCGCGCAAATGTACTCGTTTCGCAATACGCATAATTAAAATCTGAAGCGATACTTGGCTTTGCATACCGAACAGAAGGACCCACTCACCTCTGCCTGCCCAATGTCCAATCTGAATAATAATCCTACGCACTCGATGCTCAGTTTTTCCTCTTCTTCTCTTCTCCTAATTTTTGTACTCAATTTCCCATTTTAATTGCATTTGTAATTTGTAATACTTATCGTTGTAACTGCACATTTACTTGACGCACACACACTGAAACCAAAACGCAGAGGACAATAATGTTAAAACGTATTCGGAATTGCGGGATTTGTAATTGTTATTCAAATTTAATTTATAGATTTAACCAATTGAATTTACATGAATTTACATTGAGCTAATTTAATGTTATCGTTGATTGTTGAAGATACCAATTTGAATATTTGACCATTAGTAAGTCGTTCTGTTTAGGCACACACTCGACACAAACCACAATCCACAAAACCTTTCGAAAGATTGCATATCAGCCAAAACTGGAACCGAAACACACCGAATCAAAACAATTGAAGGGAATCTTGACCAACTAACATACCAACTAACTCTACTGTAACACTTGTACACCGATCTACGCGAATCTAAGCCCAACTATGGTTAACTATATTGCGAAATGGAAAACCTATAAGATACACACTTCTAGCGTTAAACCGAATTTATCTGATCTGTTCTCGATTCGATTTCGGCTTCCGTAGGGCGGATCTCCGATCGAGAGCAGCTCCGTAAGTTTAGCAAATTCGAGTTTCAATCTAACCTAAGCAACAGCAACAATTTTTGCGAGTTTAACATTTATCAAGTATTATCGATAGTGGAATTACAGAACGTATGCGTTTCAGCGCGGCATGAAACCAAGACCAAATGATTATTCTAGCTATACTTACCAGTGACTTGAACGCTAACCTAAATATATATTAACTTACAAGTTATTGAGAATTCATGCATATTTTAGGCAATTATCGTTAATGTAAAAATATAAAAAAAAAAAACAAAGTGCAGATATTTACAAATTTCGCGTTGGGCCAAAGTGCACGAATATAAATATAAATTTAAATAGGTGTAATGCCTGGGATTCGGGTGATTATACGACGGAAGTTAAAATGATTTACGATTAACCATGAAAGCTAACTTTTTAATGCTTTGGATTTGCATTGTTTATTTACATTATACGTATATTGCAAATGATTGAATTACGATTAAATAAAACTTAAAACACAACTTAAAAGAAGGATTGTTTTGTTGGTTTGAATTTATGGTAAAAGCTTTGGTAACAGATATCCTTCAAGCTTTTCGGTGAAGTATAACTCTGCCAAAGCTTAAATTTTCAGAAGGAAAAAGTTCTCTAGTGATGCGAAATCTAGTTCACACGGAACCAGTAACTCCGAGCTTGATTTTTCAAAAGCTGCTAAGCTTCACGTCTGTTATTAAGAAGAAGTTTTTTATTTGTAGTTTAGTTTTGATTCTTAATAGTTTTTTCTTAAAGCCCATTTTTCTTTATTTTTAAAATTATTATTTGAAATTTTTAACACTGTCTAAACATTTTTTAACAACAAAGTTAATATCTTACAAATTAATAACAGTAAGGAAAAGCGCTGTGAATTTAAATCTACTAAAGATTGTGAAAGTTAAGGTTCAAAAGCTATGGTTTGCAAATAGTTATGATGTATTTAGTTAACGTTGAAAGCTAAGGATGGGTTTATGATTTGGAAAAGCTTTCACTTTGATTTAGAATTTGTGAACCCAAAGGCAAGCTTCAAAGGCTTTTACCAATATGTTTAAACGCGTTTCCTTTGCTGAGCTTTACTTTCAAAGAGAAATACGTTATTATTTAAAGCACAAGTAAATAACCGCAGCATAATTGGTTTATTCATAATTTTTGCTGGCACACCCAGAGAAATGTGGGACTATTTTTTAGGTAACGTATGACCTAAAAAATTTAAATAGACTAAAATTTCAGATTTAGGTAATGGGTTACCTAAAAATATTAGCATGTGGACTATGTTCCTACTTTTTAGGTAAAGCTAAAGAGATTTTTATAGGCCATCGTAACCTTCAAATTGGTCCATAAGACCTAAAATTTAGGAATAATTTAAAGTCGATTATCACTCACAACTTAATACAACTATTGGTCCCTAATATTAATAAACAAATTATTCGGTTTTTTAAGTTTAATGTTAAAAAATTTTTTAGACTTTTCTTAAAGCTAGTGATAGAAAAGTTTCAATATATAAAATCAATACCTACGTGGACTATTTTCCTACTTTTAAGGTAATAGTGCCCTATTCTAAAAATAGAATTCGCCTGAGCCCCTTGAAGCAGGCTTTGGTTTTGCCGCAGGGCCTTTAAGTAGTTCCGTAGACCAGAGGCTAGCCTATTGGACTCTCGCGCAGAAGACCCGGGATCGATTCCCACCGAGGACAAAATAAAGTGATTGTTTTTTCAGAAAGATAAAATATTTGCTTTTCCGAATAATACAATATAAGCAATTAAAATAATCAAATATGTTACTATCAATAGTAAAAATCCTAGCTTTTTTTTAAATACCTAATATTTAGGTAATTCTGACCTAAAAATCTAGTCCACTAGCCATTTTTTTAGGTAACCATTACCAAAAATAAATCCAAGACTGCGTAAAAAATATAGTCCATATGACCAACATTTTAGGTAATGATGGACTTGGCGCATTTTTCTGGCCATGTTTCCTAAAATTTTAGGTAATTAGGCCCCTTTTTAGTCCATTTTGTTTTCTGGGTGCAAGCAATGATATACTGCAAAGTAGTCCCCACCTGGCGTATACTTGATGAGGCCACACAGCCATTCCCATACTCCTGAACGACAAATCAAACTCTATCCAGTCAGATGACAACAACAATCTGCCACACATTGTCCCCAATTTACAAGACATTTGCTGGGAAGAATTTATATTTTGCCGACGCGACGGCCTGGTCCTAAATAATTGCCAGTTGCCGGTTTGGAAAAGTAACAGGAGCACGTGCACGTGGCGATGACGCCGACACATTTACGCCCAATTGAACAATTTTCCGGGAAAGTAGAGCTATGGAGAAGCGGCCAAAGGACGATGGCCCATGTGGCTGGAGGGCATCCGCTCAAAAGTGCAGTCAATTTTAATTGCTTGTCTGATCGCAGACAGGGGCTATTAATAGGCTTATGGTTTGCATGATATACCGATATCCCGATGCCGATGCTAAAGCCTCCGCCGTGTGGCTTTTTGGGGGGCGTTAGCAGTCGCTCGCTTATGCAAGTGGATTGTTTCGGCCAGATGCAGATGCAGCTGCCACCGCCCTCGCCCACCGATAATCGCTGCGGTTAGCCGGAACAGCCCATTTCGAACGGCCGAGGGAACGAGGGAACGAGAGAACCTCCCCTGATACCTAATACAATTTGCATATGAAATTTCCGTCTGCCAATTACAATTCGGCCAAAATAGATTAGTTCCCAAAAAGCCAAATCATAATTTTAATTATGTATTTGGCCGGGGCTCCGCCTCGACTGCTAATTAAAAGTTAAGCATTTTAGCATTCCGATTTGATTGTTTTATTTCGATGATCCCGCGTAGTTTAATTAGTGCAAGATGGCTAAATGCTGTCACGGCCATTGCACCTGCAGGTGGTAAATACCGATTGCCGTGGTGGTAAATATTTGCCAGCAGCAAAATGGAAAACTTATCGCACGTTTCCCTGCCAGACTTTGCTTAGCGCTGTTTAACTATCAGTCGGCCGAGGGAAAAGAAAAGCAGAGCGGAAAAACTTTCTATGTAAGCAGGACTCGTGTTGACGATGCCGTCTTTAAGTCAACTAAACCTGTTCTAGTAAACAACAAAAAAGGGCACTGAAGAAAATACTATCAAATATAAATTTAAAAATTAAATCTAATTAAATAATTAGGTATTACAAAAATAAGAAATTACAATTTTTAGGTTTTAATGAATTTTCTTAAAGTTTAACATTTAAGAAATCAATAGGTTTTAAAATGAAGTTTCTTAAAAAATATATCTTATTAATGTCCATAAAAACTGTTTAGCTATCTGATCGGTTTTGTACTTTTATTAATTAAGATGTAATATATTTTAAAATATTTCCCTTTCTAATAAAATATCTATTTGATGAAAAATTTTTCTTTTTTGAAACTTTAAAAATTATTATTAATTTCTTGGGTGAACGTATTATTCCTCTACCATTTTAACAGCTTTTTCTTCCACCCAATTTCAATAAAAAATTGTAGTTTTAAGCTTTTTGGCTCTGTGCACTTGTTGGTGGCGCCGCTATCGCTGGTGTATTTGCTTATTGTGTTTGTAAACATTGCTAACAACTTGAGTAATGCCGGCGACAATGCCAGTATTGCCACTTGCCACTCTGCCACGCCCACACCTACGCCTGCAACTGCTAATAAAGTGGAGATGAGGCGACGGGGGGGAGTCACCACCGCCGCCTTGCAAGTTGTAAGTGCCCAAGTTTTTCAATTAAAAGTTGCTACCTTTTGTGTGTTACTGCGGCGGCATAACATAAATACGCATGTGTGTACACACTCGCAGCGAACGTGGGCTTCCACGTATATTTCCTGACTTTTTGCCTAATCACGATGCCGCTGATATATCAATAAACCACAGGGCAGAACGGAGGAGGATCGCCTGCATTATAAATCAGCAGCAACCAGAAAGCAAACTCCTGGCGAACCAAACCAAACCAAACTAAACCGAACAAACAAACAAACAAACGAACGAAACGGCGAACGACAGGTGTTGAAGTCGAGGGCATTATAAATTCATACGAAAAAATACCGAAACGTCAAACAAATTGCAAGTTTTCAGTTGCATTTCCGCAAAACGTAACTGAAATAATACGTTGCCGGCAACGCAGCAAAGTATGCAACAAAAGCTGGTGTTGTGGCTGGGCTTGGGTTTTTGCAATGCCGTTCTACGTACCTCCGTGGTTATCGGATGGCGGGGCACACGGACAAATTGAAGGTAGGCCATGTAGCAGCCCGGGGCAACGTCTTCGACTTTACGGCACGACCCTGCCCCCTGCCCCCTGCCCGCCCACCGGTGCCCCTTTCCACGCTTTTACCGCTCGCATGACAAGTTGAAATGTTGACGGCTCACTGACATTGTCTGCCAGTGTATACGTGCCCTGCTGCATGGGTGCACTGCAAGAAATGTATATTTTAAATTATGCTAGATGTATAGTTTTTACAGAGTAATTGAAAGGTCCTTTATGAGGTTACATTCCACCTTTTAAAGATCATATCATAACTTAAAAAATGAAAACATTTATTTAAATAATTTGTAAGGACTTTAAAATCCACTTTAAAGATCAGAATGGATCTTAGAAAATACAAATATTTATTTTATGTTATGCTAATTGTCTTCTTTTTCTTGTATACATTTTATAAAACATTTTTATGTTCTTTCAGATAATATTGGGACTTGAAAAATCATAATAGATCTTTAAAATTATTTTTATTTTTTCAGTGCTCGTGCTTGTGAGCTGCATGCATGTATGAATGATATTGTGGCTCGACATGGCTGCGCTGCAAGAATCTCATACAAAGTTATGCAAATTCCGATTCCGTTGTCGCTGTCGCCGCTCTGTTGACGTCGCGAGGGCTCTGGGATGTGGGCTGTGTGCTGTGGGCGTGGCATCGGTTTCTGCGGTTTGGCATGCATAATTGTTGGTTTTTAGTTACACGTGAGTCGGCCGTGCGGCCCCGCCCCCTGAACTCTTAGCCCCCCCTCCTGAGGCATATTCATACGTGTTATTTGTTCGCCGTAATTGTCTATCTTGGGTACTGCCAGCATTTGGGCGATTAAAAATTAAAAAATGCCATTCAAAAGTATACATTTCTTGTGTGGCAAGATAAGGTCTTAATATTAGCCAAAAAGTATCTAGAAAATATTCATAAATAACTGTCTGCCTTGGGTAATGGAGTGAGGTTCAGAAATATAATCTGCAATTTACCTGAAATGAAACACAGTATTTCTTTGTTTTTCCAACTTCCCCCCGGGCTAATAAAATGTTATAATTTTGTTATCTAATGGGAGGCATTGGAAACTTCACTGGCCCATCTGCTCTGATTAGAACCCATTCATAACTCTGCGTAATTCGAAATTCCCAATGGCTATGATAGATTGTAAATCACATGCGGGCAGAACAATAATCATTTCTCAGGCATTTCCTATTTTCATGTTGCCAAGAACCCCCACATGTGAAACTCCCTTCCGGAGAAGAACTACAACTGGGGGCTATCATCAAAAAACAATTCTCTGCGTAGCGTCCGCAAAATAATGGACGTTAGGCCGCGCGTCTTGATAAGCTAAATGATAAATTGTTTTCACTCGTGACATATGTACGCCCTTGTGAGTGGGTGTGTGTGCAAACTTGTTACGGATGCTGGCCTCGTATGTGAGTGGGTGGGAAAGTTGTTTTGTGTTTTCTCCCCGCTTTCAATAACAAAAAAAAAAGAGAACAGGGTAAGGAAAAAAGCGAAGAAGCTGGGAAACAAGCTGGGAAAACTTGTAAATGCGCCTGGGCACAAAAGTGGAATCTAATAAGCTCACGGCTAAATGTGTTATGATGAATGACATTGTCAGCCGCACACGGAATTTAAACTTTTTTGCCCTGGGACCTCGCAGGCAAGGCTTATAATTGAAAGCTCAAAATACTTGCGTCCCCTTTTTGGAGTTTTCAGTTCAGAGTTTCCGAGTTTCGGAGGAGGCTGAGATTTGATTTGACTTCGCAGCTAATCAACTAATACAACAGATCCGCATTCATTCATTAAATTAAAATTTCATCCCGCTCATCTGGTTTGATTGCTTTGTGCCTAAGTGGCGGTCGTTCCTTCAGAAATTCCCCCTCCAAATTCTGAATGATATTGTGGCGGCTTCCATCACAATTGGAGCTGGCAGTCCCAATCCCAAACCGAATCGCAACTGTTGGCACTCGGCGGCTTCTTGGCCTGTTTGTTTATTTGCCTGACAGCCGAGATATGCCCCCTGCCTAAGTATCTGAATCTGATTCTGTATCTGTATGCCTGGCTGCCGGAGTATCTGAGCAGCACAGAAATCCGCATCCGGAAACTATGTTGGCCTGCCATTGAAATTCATAAAGCATCAATGGCCCCGCCGAGCTTCGCAGCAGCGTGGCTCTTTTTGTTTGAAATCATTTGCTTTAATTCAAGTGAAAAATTATTTAAATTGGTTATCAAACGTGCGGCTCAGACAGGCTACGGATGCAGATACCGATACAGATTCAGATTCAGATACAGATACAAATATAGGTAAACGTGCCTATAGACATTCGTTAGGGGAAATGGTGAAATATTCTTTGTTTTCCCCACATACACAAATACCTTTTGTTGTTTGTGGGCCTTGGATGGAAATGAAAATTGATTCGAACTTAAATGAAAAATATTGATCAAAGTAATTTCTTGGCATTTGCCCAGGTAGATGAATTTGTAATATTTTTTATTTAGTGAAAAATGCATGAGCCACATAAAATATTTTCAATTCAGATAGACAGAAATGGCGCCCGGATCCATGGGGGATTTATCGATATGCTCTGAAAATTCAGTGCGTGTTTATGGGTATTAATATTTTAAGGCCAAAACACCAGGCAACCATTTTACCTGATTGCACCAAACTTTGTGCTGTTGCCTTTAACCAAATACCTTGTTAAATTTCCCAATGAAATGAATTTTCCGCTGCATTTGATAGTTTACCTTTTATTGTTTCGTATTATTCAATTATATTATGCTATTATGTATCTCTGTTATGCTCTCTTTCGCTCTCCATACTTTAGGCTTAGGACTAGAGGGTTCTGCACTTCAGTTTTGATTTCACTAAATATATACTTTACTTTAATCGTACAATATAATGTCACCTTGCGGCTGGCTACCGCGCCAATCGCTTTGTGTTCTGCGCTTGTGGTTTATTGTTTTAATTTAATACCTTAACTGTCATTACAATTACGTTTAATTACATTACAAATTTTGTAGTTGGAAATGCATTGGTTAAATGCAAAATGAAATTATTATTATGTAACTAACTATGCTCGGTAATTATAATTATAATTAGAATTTAGTTAAGTATTCGTTATCGAATGACAATAAATTACGAATTTACCATCCACGGCTGTGCATGTATTTATGTGTGTGTGTGTGGATTATGCTATAGTTTCATTATCGTTACTCATCTGATGCATACAAAATCTGCGATCCGAAGTTTTATTTCGATTACGAGTATTGTGGGAGTCGCGGGCTGCGCTGTAGAAAATCTCTGGCCTACGATAGGAGTAGAAATCGTTCGTAAAACATATATCCTATATATTAAATGTATATATAGACTGGGCAGAAAGGGCTGCATGCGATAGTTAAAAACGGTTTCGTATCGTGACCACTCGGGTTTCTTATATTGTACACACACCTAGAAGTCTTTTGACAAAAATACACATTTATACACGCATATACAGGGGTCCTGTGAAGATTCGATTCGCCTCTCGATTATAGATTCTCGGGTGCATTGCCATACGAGCTAAGTAGGATACTAATTTGGCCAGTATTGCGTAGGCGGAGGCGACTGGGTGATCCGCTGCTGATTTTCGGTTTTTCGGGGTGAGCTTACGTAATTACAAAAATTACATTAGTTCGGTTACGGCTATCGGTAAGTTACAAATTACAGATTACAAACTACGAATACGTTTTCCTGCTTGTACAAAAATTGCTGTCTGCCGTTTGCTTTTGCTTGTCCTGAACATAAAGTACAACTCATATATATCCACGATATATATCTACTATTTGTGTTTTGTTTATGATATACGTGTAGAAATATATTAGACATTACCTACGAGTAGTGTGTATGCGTACGGGTAATATAAGTATGTATTTATATGCAACATCCAGCTGTCGTCTGAGTATTCTCTTTTTGGTTTTTGTTTGGAATTCGCTGATTATATGCATGGCCATGATTTACGTTTACATTCAATGTATGTACGTGTGTTTGGGTGCTGTGATTTCATTTGTTTTGTTTTATGTATGAGAATGGTTTGGTGTGACTCGCTTCTTCTTCGTATTCCTTCCGGTTCCGCTTACAGCAGTAAATTTTCTAAATGCGCTGCATACTCGTCTTCCGTGTGGAACTCCAGGCTTTCGCTCTCGCCGTGACTGTGACTGCGACTTTTGCGGTAGCTGTGAATAGGCACAGTGAGAAAATATTATGTTATTAAAAAATGTACTTTAATTTGTTATACTTATACGTTGTAAAAAAATAAAATTAATTGTAAAATCTTGTTAACAAATTAACTTATTAAAATCTCCGCCTTAGATTATTTTAAATAAATATAATAATTTTTAAATTTTTTGAAATAATAGGTACTAATAGTTTTTACACTTTTTTTTAAAAGCTTCATACAAATTATAGAGTTTGTACTGAGATCCTTGAAAAAAATTACAAAATATTCATACAAATTTAATAAATAATAAGGAAATTTAAAATTTTCTCCCTGTGTACCAGTGTTTGTGGCCACAGAGGTAATGAGCAAAGTTGGCAAGTAATAAAACGTTAATGCCAAATCAATAGGACACGTGTAAGTACCTGCTGCCGTCGAGGTCCCGCTTCTTGCGCTTGCGATCCTGCGAAAGGGCCTCCACGCACAGGATGATCAGCTTGCTGTCGCAGGACTGGCGCTTCTGTTCGAGCAGCTTGTGGCCATCCAGATTGCTGGCATAGCCGGACTTCAGATGGTCACCCGAGTGCCAGGCATCGCAGTATGTGTCCATGGAGCGCTCTCCATTCGGCAGCGAGCCATGCCAGACCATCTTCATGGGCCTGTAAAAATATTAAATTAATTTACAAAATGTTTAAATATTTATTAGCCGTCCTACCATGAAGGATCCGTCATCACATTCTTGCCGCTGAAGCTGTAGATTCTGGGCGCCTGCGAGAAGAAGCCGCCCTGGCCGTTGAAAATGCCCTTCCAGGAGTTGAAGAGCACATCGCCACGGGTATTCACCACGGGCAGATCCCGGTCAGCCGGTCGGACAATCGTGTCCAGATTCTGCACCCTGCAAACGAGAGTTAAGCATTTCGTTTATGTACAATTTATTGCCGGCATACGAGCGGCAATTACACGCAAACAAACAAACTGTCATCAAAAGATGTCTGAAGGGCAGGTGCCTGCTCTTTGTTCGTTCATTTATTTATGTTTTCGCTACCCCACCTCACCGAAACTCGGAAAACTCCAGCACCCCGGTTGCCGGAGCACTGGGTAAATAAATTGTAGCGCTGGTAGTCAAGTGGGAACGGATCGTTGCTAGCGTCATCTGTGGGGTGTTTGCCGAACTGGGGTTAGGGGTAAGAGAAAGCGCAATAGGTCAACAGGGCGAAATGTCAGTTGAGATCTGCTGAGAGCGTTTGCCATTTTGGCTGTTAAGGGGCTTGCCGCCAGCGGCAAGCGGCATCAGCGTTCTTTTCTATTTGAACCTTCCACCGATCAAGAGGTGAATCGGCAAAGTCAGTGTTTCGACTATTGATCTAACCTATCTGGAAGATTGTCAAAGGGAAAAGGCAACCAAATTTAATAATTTTGGCCGAGTCCTATTATTGGGGGTGAGTTTAAAACAAATAAAAGAAAATCAACGGGTCCGATCAGCAGCGCTTTGGTTGATTTATAGGCTCGGCGATCAAAGACCAGAATACGATATTCAACCGGCGGGAACACTTAAAACGGCAAGCAGCTGAGCCAGAAGTTCTCATTGGAGTTAAATCATCATCGGAGAGGGCGACCAGTTACTACGAAACGTACGCTCGGCGCGGAACCACGAGACAATCGCGGGAGGGAAAGTGCGAAAAAGTTACCAAAGGTCTAGCGTGAGGGTTTAAATTTACCCAGTCCCCGACTCCGTTTAAAGCTGGTGAAAAATATTGTGGAAAACCCCATAAAAATGTGGCCTTAGAGGAGGTGAAAACCCATGGCGAAAAACCAGCCGAAAAACACAATTTAACCTCAAATTTCCTTTGCCGTGAAGAAGAAAGAAGTAATAAGAGTAATTGGAAAAAGAAAGATGTCAGAATATAATAGTTTTTTTAGTTATTAATCCTAAGTAAATTCTTTTTTTATATTATTTTAAAGTGTATTTTTGTGCTGCCAAAACTCCGGCATTGTGTTCCCTCTTTCGTAAAGGAAAAAAAAATCCAAGTTTAAAGGAAAAAATTGTATGGCCACTTACCCCCTGGAAAAAAAAGTGAAAAAGGAAATTTGAAAAGGATAAAGTGAAAGCCCCTGTGTCCCTCAAAAAAATAACTTTTTCTCATTTCGCAGAATTTTCAGCCGTCTTCGAAAAAAGCGCTTTCTTCGGGGATGCATCTGGAAAAATTGGTGAGCGTTTAAAAAATATAAAAAATATAATTTTTTTGGTGATAGGCGGCAATTTCAAATTTTCTAAATTTCATAATGTGGTAAAACCTAAAAAAAAAAAAGAATTCATTAAATTTAATTTGCCGAATTAAAATTTTCCCATCGGTGTAACCGGCATTACGTAATGGCCCAAGAATAAGAAAGAAAAGACAATCGCAAAATTGGGTGCCAATACCGTAGGTTTGTTCAGTTTAATCCCACTAAACGCCAATATCGTAAATCGCTTTGCGTTTGCTCTCTCGTTGTGATTTTATATGCAAGTGGGAACGGTAACATGTCGACGTAACACAACGTAATGAAAAGTTGAAAAACCACACAATCAAAAGATTTTATATTTGTCATTTAAAGTAAATGTAAATCTACTTGGCATGCCGTCTTTAACATATATACTTTTAAAATCTATTTATTGCACCTATCCCTAGTCATAAGAATTACCTGCTACACTTATTATATTTATGCTACCTATGATATATTTTCGCCATTTATTTTTCTTATAATATTTTTACCTATTTATTATATTTATATTATTTTTGTACTTGATGTTAGTCTCGGTTAGGGTTTTTAGCAAGATTGATTTGTCTAGGATTTTAAATTTGTTAGCTGTTAAATAAAATGTTTATAATGTGGTAAATTTGTGTGTTTGTCCTCGGCGGACATGAGACCCCCGTGAAGCCGTAACCGCGAAGGGGCCGTTCTAAAAAAAAAAAGAAAAATGGTAAGGGAACGGCCAATGGAAGGGTGGGCTGAATGCCGCCTCATTAACAGCTGAGGTGGAAAAGCGGTAGGCTCGATCACAGATGTAGGGGGCCTTACGCCCGACAATAGCCCGAGTTGTAGTAGTGTTTTCTCTCCCCGGCCTTAGTTTGGTTTGTCTTTGCACGCAATCTGAGTTTTGATAATAATCGAAGAGGCAATGACGGGTTAAAGCAAAGATCCACCCCATTAGCCGACGAGCCAAAGCCGATTGACATTTTTGCGTGCGCTCTGACCCGTCCGTAACACCCAGCCTTAGCTTATTGTTTATAGGATGTCCGTTACAAAATTGCACGAAATTGTTTTCACAAGCTTTTGTTTTCATACTTCGAGCGCGCTTTTTTCGCTTTTGCTTTTGCTTTCGCCTCGCTTCAAATATCAAGATTATGCGGCAACTAATGAGTTCCCAAAGTGTCGGCTCAGCCGGGAAACGTGGCGTATGAGCAACGCCGAGCATTGGAGCGGCAAATGCGCTGGACTGGATTTGCGGGAAAAAATCTTAATAGCCTGCCCCCAAAAAAAGCAAAAAAACTAAACAGAAACAGGAAAGCAGACCTAATACGCGTGAAAAATCTAAAGAAAGATAAGACACACTCGCCGCGAAACAAGTACTCACCTGGAGGAGAGGAACGCCTTGAAGGTGCCCAGGAGGCCTGCCCGTCGTCCTTGCCGATAGCAGGCGAAGTCCGCCCCCCGGATGCCCTGCAAGTCGCCGGTGGAGGGCTCGTTCAGCGCGGCCACGCGTAGCTATTCCGGATCCAAGACAAAATATGGCATGAAATTAATGCGGAATTTATGTCAAGCATTTTAAGATCTAATTAATACAGAATTTAATAGCCAGGAATTGTTTGTCTAACAAAGGTCGCCAGCAAAGCCTGGGGGGACTGTGGGGAGAAATGATGGGTAGGAGTAATGGATAGTAAAATATTTCAAATAATTGTCGGGGCTCTAAGGAAACAATAACAAAAAATGCGAAAACCTCCTTCGGGGCAACAAGGAGCACTCATAAAAATAAAAGAACGTGGGCAGGAGCTCAAAGGTCGGATCTAGATTAATTGAAGGGCAGAGGGCAGGGAAGGGAACTCACCATTCGCGGATACCACTGGAAATGTGATTTTAATTTGTTATTATTTTCGATTCCGTTACAAAATTGTTTGAAGACGCAGCCATTGGATGTGGGACAAAAATATATTCGTAATTTAATAAATCTAAATGGAAATTCTGAGCATTCTAACACCGACACATAAAAAGGAGCTCTCAACATTCTAGACTTTCGTGTGGGATGCGAATCGTTGAGAGCTAGGTAAGCTCCGTGGATTACCCAAAGCAAAAGGACAAAATTCAATCAAGAAGCGTCTAGTTAAAAAAGCAAATCACACAGAATGCACACAAAGGAAATGGAATTAAACATATAACTTATTTGACTAGGAGAATAAAAATACGAAGTTTCCATCGGTTTAATGAATGCATAAAACCATCAATGGATACAGACAAAAGCAGAAAATCAAACTACACCAATTGTTCCGCGTACAACAGAACTTCAAATGCAATTTTCGCTAATTAGAAATATTTTCATTGGCCAGCAAACAAAATCAAATTATTTATTCAACGAGTGTGTGCAGGAATCGTTCGAATCGAATTTTAAATTCTCCCCGTTCCTTTTTTTGTTATTTTTTAGTCGACACTACGATATGCGATATTATGGGTTTAATTACCGTTTCGTATTCGGGCGCGGTTGTAAACTGCATTTAACGACAATTAATTGTAAATAAGTTTAGTAGGTTATATCGATAACATTTGCTTCAGTTCGTTTCACTGAGTTAAATTTGTGAAATTAGGAACAAGTAGTGTGTATGTTTGTGGTGTATTTTTGTAGCTTTCTTGGATGAAAATAGTATCATTGATGGTCGAATTATTATTGTAAATCATCATAAAACTTATTTTATTGACATTTATTAATAATTCGCCAGCTCAACTGGAGTTGTATTAATTTTTGTTAGAGACTCGCGGCGGGAAATGACATTCAGGCATTCGGAAACATCGATGTCAGAGCTTCTCCATTTATAAATAATTCATTGTGAACTCATCAAAGTCGAGTAGAATTAATACACACAAAGGGAATCGCAACTAGGACTCCTGATTTCCATTCGAAGCGCTCTTAATTTTCCCCGGCATCAATGTCATTATCCCACCGATGGACGGATGCGAGTAGATGTGAGAAACACAGAGTGTGCAACAAAAAAAAAAGAAAAAGAAAAAAATAATGACATTTTTCCATCACTATCACTCACCGTTGGCGTATTGAGCAGGGGCGGCGGACTGTTGAGAAGGTTCTTCGACTGCAGGTCGAATCGCATCGATGGAGCCACCGTTGTGGGCGGAGCGGGCGTGGCTATGGGGACCAGTGTGCCCAGCTGCGAAATACAAAGGGAGAATTAAATGTGGAATCGTAATTAAAAGGCGCGGAGACAACAAACAAGCGTTTGACGAATTTGCAATTAATAAAACAAGAGCGAGCTCTGCGCAAATATAAATATGCTCGGCAGACCCTTTCAAGTAGTTAATATTTCAGCGGGAACCGAAGGCAAACAGCCGAGCACTCCAGCCATTATGCGATGAAATCAACGTTGTATTGAAATTTTGCTCAAATATTTGCATTACGTGTAGGAAAATGTGTAGCAACTGTCCCATTCCCAGTCCCAGTCCCAGTCGCAGGAGCAGTTCCAATCCCAAAACTGGAGTCCCAATCCCGCTTTCTACCTCTTCCACTGTATTAGGGTCAAATTTTCGACAGCCATAATGCGCGACGTCGTCTGACAAAAGTTTTAATTACTATTTTGAACTTTAAGTAGTCGACTCGTGTACTGAAATCTAATTAGGCTGGCGCCTCGGCTACCATCTCGGTATCTCGGCAGACAGCTGTGTATTTGGCCCAGACGAATGCGAAATGCAAATGGAAACCCCAAAGTAAACTGGCAGAAAACTATGGGATTTGGAAAAGATAAAATCTGAAGCTCGTCAAATAAATTAAAACAAAAAAATAAAATATTTTGTTTATTAGAAAATATTTAAAATATAAAATTTAACATTTCCTCTCTTTGAATACAAATTCAAACTGTTTGCTAATTATTTTTACTACGAATATTTTGTAATTTTTATACTTTAGAGTTAAAATAGTTATCGGGGAAAAGCCAATATGTTTTATATTTTTCTAAAGATGTTTAAAGATTTACAGATATAATTACTCAAATTATAAAATTTTTTCCTGTGTAGCAACTTCCTGACTCCCGGAGATTCCGCCAACAAAGGGTCCTTTGCTTTGGCCCGATTTTGCCATATTAGTCGGCGCACCATGACAGTTCATGGTCCTGTGCCGGGTTTTTGTTGTCAAAAGTATTTAAATGCTGCCGTCAAAGGCAAGAGATTTCGTTTTCATTCCGGGTTGCCTTATGCACATGCCAGTTGCCAGGATTCAGGATTCAGGAACTAGGAGCCAGAAGCCAGGAGGCCACGCCCACCAGGCACAACCCTGCTGTGCCGGCTTTTGTGCCCTGCAACAACGGAAGCGGAAATCGAATCTCGAGCAGTTTTTTGCAGCTCCCCAATTCTGAGAATTTTGTACACTTTGGCACAATCGATTCACTAGTTTCCCTTCGCTTGCCTTTCATTTTCCATTTTTCGATGATTTCAATAACGCAACAAGCAGCCGAAATTGTGGCCACTTTAATGCTTAACAAGCTATTGAGGAATCGACCGATTCAGTGTGTAATTTCGCCAACTTCAGAGGACGCCACAAAATGCTGACCCGAGCAAATTGGCCGGGGAGAAAATCGTGTAATAAAAGGTTCCCACCGTTCACCTTGAAGGCCGGTCGAGATTAATTGGCATGTGGCACGGGCAATTTCGGTATTGCAGCGATATTGTCCAGGGGACGACAATAAAACCTTCGATTTCCGTTTAATATTATTTTTAATCTGCCCAAAGAATTTATGGCTCCAAGGAGGCGGGATCCCCTCACTTAGAAATCAAGCGATGCATGTTTTATATTCCATCAGTAAATGTTTTGAGCCTCTAACTGACTGGCTGACTCAAATTGCCTGCCACATGCCACATGTCTCCCTGGCTATTCCCCAGTATCCTTGTATCCCTTAACCGGGACAAGTGAAAAGCCAAGCGCAAGTCAATATAATTGAATAACGCAGATACACACACACATGCGACGGGTGACGGATGGGTGGGAATCGAATGGCAATCAGTCTGTACGTCTGCAACATTTAATGTGCAAATAAAAAACGAGCCGATACAAGGGCAATGCCAAACAAACCTTACTTTATGGCAGGCAAGAATAAGAAAAAGCAAAATAAATAAATAAGGCGAGCAGAAGACAAACACACAGGCTTCTGGCCAGGCTTGTCTTTCCTTCTATTTTTGCATGCATTCTTTTCGAGGAGCTTATGGCCATAATGGAACAACAGACGACGGAGCGGGATCTATAAAATAATAACCGCCCGCCAGCGGGCTCAGCGCCTGTCATATTTGGCATTTTAAAAACGCTACACGAAAGTCCCTGTGTTGTTTGCTTAGGAGCCAGAAATCAAATCCTACCCCCAAACCCAAAAAAAACGAAAAGCGGGGGACTTTCCACCGAACTCACCGCAATATACTGCCAGCCCTTGTTGACGCGAACCAAAAGCGCCTCCTCCTCGGTGATGTAGGCCAACGTGCCCGGCGGATTGAGGGCCGATTTCTGCGGGAAACATACATATATCGGAAACGAAAGAGTTTAAAAATACATGGCAGTTGCCAAATTTAACCAATCGACACCCACTTTTGTCATTTCATCGATGTTCTGGAAGGTGACTGCGCCGGGCACAATCTTCATATTGTTCATGTTCGACGAGGATGCCGAAAAGTAGGGCTCCTCGCCCTCGGCGAGCCCCAGGGTCTCGTCATGTTTGTGGCCATGTCCCGGCTGGCGTGGGGTCTCTGAAAGGATAATTCATGCATTATGACACAAAATTTCATATGCAGGATTCACTTAAATTTTGCTTTTATCAAGTGCTAAATCACAGCGGTGGAAATGTAAATTTCTTTCTAGTGTATTTCAAGTCATTTTTGTTACACGCAACTTATTGAATTTAAATTTACAAATATTTAATATTTTATAACTTCTTAAAACAACCCAGAGTTCATGCAATTACAAAAGTAAATCAATCCTTTGTAATCCTGGGTAAGCAAATAATGATTATTATGTTATCTAAGCCTTTTAACCTAATTGCATACAAGAAATATAAATTGGATATATACAACAAAAATATAAATATAATTCGACTATTTTACTTGTGCGCCTTTATTTATAAACTACGAACAATGTGCTAGATTATTTCATTTGCACATTCACCTACTCTCCAAACTGACTTAAAGACTCAAAAGCTCGCCAAAATATGCCAAATACTCGCATTTTAGGTTACTGGTAACTAAAATATGTAATTTCTGTGTGTGGGCCATGAGTCGGGTGTTTTTCCTTTTTTGGCGGAGGAAAAGTCATGACGGTGTGAAAATACGCGCATAAAGAAAATGTTTACACGTTGTACTCTATCAACGGCAAATGAGTTAATGATGATGTGCAAATATGGGGAACTCACTGCCCATTAAAGGAGCTAGTTCATGAAAAGGTGTGTGTTTGGGAACTGAAGGCAATTAGCTGGTTCAACGGAAAGTCATGCAACATTCAAAAAGGCTACAAATACGGCTAGTACGGTGTAGTATGGAGTTGAGATTGTAGATTGAAGAGTGGGTTTTAAGTAGTTCGATTACCGGCTGTGCCATCGGGCCGATCGCGCAGATCTTGCAGTTCTCGCAGTGCTTTGAGTTCGTCTAAGGATGAGCGCGCTCCTTGATGACGAGCGAACGATACAAATGACATGGATTGATATTGGATAAGTTGGATAAGTTACGTTGTGGCTCTTGGGCAAGGATAACGCTAACTATATACAGATATTGACCACTAGCTAACTATGCTCACATGTGACATATTTACAGAGAACTGATTGGTACTATATATAGATTTTCTTACCTGGTCGCCCGTAATAGGAGGCATCACCGAAGAAGGTGCTTCGCAATTCCATTCCGGGTTCGCCCTTAGGTCCCGAAATCGATAGACCCGGTAGTCCTGGTGGTCCCGGAGGTCCTGGAGGTCCTGGCATTGGGATATACTGCACTCCGCTGCTGTCACCATCCCCGCCGCCGGTGGAGGGCATTCCAGGAGGTCCTGGCAGGCCATCTCGACCATCCTGACCTCGGTCGCCCTTGTCACCCTTGAGCTGCAAACAAGTTTCACCAGTCAGTCGGGTGATCCATCACCATTCCCTCGCCTACTTGACTTCGACTTTTGGCACTTACCCCTTCGCGTCCGCCGGAATCGCCTTTTGGTCCCTTGGGACCCATCTCACCCTTTGGTCCTGTCATCCCAGGGCGGCCCTGTGAATCAATTAAATAATGGCTCATGAAAATCGGAAAAAATATATAGTATGGGGATTAAAAGCCTGAAAAGGCAGTTATTTTTCCCAGTTTAAAATTCGTTCCATTATTAAAATGATGTCCTTTATATCGTCTAAATGACACGAGCACGTAGCAAAGTTTGCAGATGGCGAGCAAAAATCACATTCACTTGCCCGTAAGTGGGAAAGTTGAGAGCAAATTCTAAGATCATTGGCAGCAGCAGCCACATGAATGCATGGAGCATCTCGCATCCGAGTTTCCAAGTGCAGGGAATCGGACCGACGGGGCAACTTGAACTATGGCCAAAAAACGGGCAAACTTTCGCCGTTCGCCGGAGTGCAACAATTCCAGGCAGTCGCAACCTCTTTTGTCTCTCCGCTCGTTTCGGCAATTGCGCCAAAGTTCCGTGTCCCATTCCTCCGTTTCGAAGGAGCTGGCAGCTCATGTAAATACGTTGCCTGATTTTGATTTCGGGCGGTAAACGATGCCAGTTGGCAGAGGACACCAAAGGAATAGCGCAGCACACGCGCCTGCCTCTCAATTCAGTGACTTCTGGTTGCAAAAAGGAAACTTTTCCGCTCCTTGCCCGCCATTGCTTAGCTGTTGTTATTGCGGAATAATGGCGGAAATTCTGGGTAAACTGCAATTGGAATCGTGCGATGCGCCGACTGCCGCGTCCTGAATAACCGTGATGAAAATGCACTTAAAATACTTTTCGTTTGAGTTTATTCCGTCGCTCTCGTTGCTTTTTTTTCTTTTTCAGCTTTTCTCTTTCAGTGCCCTGATTGTCTAGATCGCGAATGCGGCCAGAAAATGTCTGTTTGGCTGTGAACTTTACCAGCAGCAACAACAATGGAGCCGTATTCATGGGCGTAGTAAGGGGAGGGCAATTTTAATTTCGAATTAAGGTTGGGATATATCTTTGGAATCTCTATATAAGTATGTGGAAAATATATATATTTTAATATTCAATAATTTATTATTGAAAAATATCTACCAATATTGTAATAACGTTTACTTATCATAGGATCTAAAATATTATAATAATTAATAATGATTTCATTTTATTAATCCCTTTACTACTTAAAAATTAATATATTTCAAATATTTCTTCCTATTTGAAAACGGTATTTTGTATAATTTGACTAATCTAATTTAAATATATACCAACTTAAAAAGGTATACATTTTATTATTACTTTTTATTTTTATTTTATTATTTAAATTCCCAACTGTCTTTTTTTTTGTTTTTCCAATAATATAATAACAGGTTATTATTATTAGTGATTTTGCGTTCCTAAAATAATATATTCTTCGGTCCAAAACACTTTCTCTGTACCCCTGAAATGATTTTGCCTACGCTCCTGGCCCTTGAAAGTTGGTCAATCTCATGAATATGCATGCAAAAGTTGCGAGTGGCCGGGACTCTCCTCCAAAATTCCCCCCTCACTTACCGAGTGTCCAATATCGCCCATGGCTCCGGGTTTTCCGGGCGGTCCGATTGGTCCAGTTGCTCCCGTTCCGCCGCGCCGCCCCCGCATGCCCTTCTCGCCCTTTTCGCCCTTGGTCCCGTTGGCGCTGGCGAGGCCCTCGAGTCCGCCGGGCTGTCCGGCCTGTCCCGGCAATCCCGGCAGTCCGGGCGTTCCCGGCTCGCCGGGCTCACCCTTTGCGCCGCTGGGCCCGTGTGCACCTTTGTGACCCTGTTTTCGGTTGGGAAGGAAAGAAAGTGTGTGAAATGATTTACGGTCTTGAATATACGGCATACTACATGTGCCCAGGGGGAAAGCAGGGAGGGGTAGGGGGAATGGGAAGGCCTAGCAGCTCTCGCCTAATTTGGCCGTAAAACTCAATTTCAAACGTTTTGTCGACGACAGAAAAAAATTCAATTCAAACTCATTTTGAAATCAAATCAATTCCGAAATCCCGCACACGCTCACGAAATTTATGCAATGCCGCCTGGTGACAAGCCCGAAAACACAAAACCATATTCCTTTTGCCTTTGTGGAAATTTCGCTTCCTTCTTTGGGCTCGAAACTCAACTCGACTCAACTCGACTCAATCTCAATTCATCCCCAGCGTCGTCGTCGTCTTCCACATCATCAGCGCCTTAAATGGTTGGCCATAAATTCGCACGCCTTGATGTTGGATATGTTGGGTAAAATGGTAGGGAGGCTGATCCGGCTGCTGCTGCTGTTTTCCTTGGTGGGCTCTCGCCAAGCTTGTTGCGGGCGTAGACCTTGCTCCATATCGCCAACTTAATACCAACTAATGAATAATTAATAAGGCAACACACACACAACCCACACACCACCCACCCACACACATGACTGCTCCGGAGGCTGTCTTTCAAGATCCCCGCGTGTGCGCGTCTGTTTTTTAGGCTTAATGAAACGTACCTAATTGTGCGTGTATTCATACGTTTAAAATGCTAATTTCCATATTAGTTTTCCCCGAAAATTGTAATGCAATAACTTGGGCTGTGTATATTCGCCGTCTCCCTGACAAATTGGGCGGGAATTTATCATAAAATTCCCAATCGATTTTTACATAAAGTGAGTGTGTGCTGTGCTCTCCGTGGGCGGCGGCTGTTTGCATAATTTCTTTTTATTTCACGCACGATTAATTCCGGGTGCGGCCACCCAAGGGGGGGAAACTACTTAAAAGCGGCCTTGTTACGCCAGATTCCTCAGCCGCAAGCCGCATAAATATTACTTATGTATATCAAAGGTCGTGGCCGTGTCTTTATGAGCCCAATTTGGATGTTGTTGTTCGGAAGAGTAATCTGCGACACCGGAAGCCACGTCCACGTGAGAGGCGGCCACCCGTCTACCGGTCCACTCCGGATCATTTGGCCAACCAAAAGCCAAAGCCGGGAAAAACCGACAAACAAACAGACTAACAACAAGCACATTATGCGAGTCCTGCTGGCAGATTTAAGTTTTGAGGTTGCACATAAAAGAAATACGGAGATCCTAAAATGGAAAAGGGAGAAACGGGAGTCCGAGGGTGCAAAGCCACCCCAACTAAGCTGCTAAATGGCATACAGGGTAATGGCTGGGAAGTAAGCGTCGCCTAAGCAGGATGAGCTCTCCAAATGGCCAAAACTTATTATGGAAGTAATGCCAAACGAGAAGTGAAAAGAAACGAAACGAAATAGTTTATGAAGGGGCTAGTGGATAGGGGGATATATTATTATTATATCCCCGCCCAGCTTGTGATCATCATATCCACTGAAAATCAAATGAGCTATAAATGCACACAAATTGGCCCCCGTTCATCCGACAAGCGGACCAGAAATCAGGGGACATCGGCATCGTCTCAAGTGACGCATTTCGGGCCAACTGCTGATAGAAATTTATGTCCCAAATTGTGTATTTCCTGCACAAATGACTGCGATGCCATAAATATGAAATTCGGGTGGGCGAATCGGGAAGGGGGGTGGTAAATTTAGGAACTCAGCTGGAGCTGTGCGCCCCGAAAGAATTATTACTATCTATCAAATTGGGTACAATTTAGCTTGAACTCAAGGAAGCAATTCAGGAGTTGGAGCGTTTATCCTTTCACGGGGTTAATCGCTTGGCATTTATTTGCTGGATATTTCTTTTCGCAGAGCAGTAAATTTTAAAACTAAGCTGAAACAGAAAAGAATTTGTAATTTACTTTTTCATTAATTTTACTTTATAAAATAATTATATTAATAATATTAGTTAGGTAACTTTTTGGTATTTAAAAATTTTCCTTTTGCTGCCATCAATTGTATAAAATTAAAAATAAAATATTTAATATTATTCTGAAATATTAACCATGTATGAACTAAAATTACCATTTATTCATTTTTAAAATGATCTTTAAAAGACCAAAGCAAAAATTATTAAACATTTTATAATGGCTAATGTTTAAACTCTAAATTGACATTGGATCGATGGCCAAAACATATTCTATTCCCACGTTATAAATGCCAACCTCTTGCCAAACACGATTATTGTCCTGGCCAAAAGGAAATTATCGTCGCAGCCTGTTTGCTCATTTGTGCGAGAGCGGCAAACTCCTTGGCCCCGATTGCCCTTTTAAGAAGCCTCAAAATCAATTGAGTAGTCAATAGGGCAGAAATTATTATACGAGCATATTTGAAACAACAATCGTGTGGGCTCGACAAACACTTTATAATGCATACACCCACGCACACACAACTAGGGACGAGGAGGAGGTGGGAAGTGGGTAGTGGGTAGTGGTCGCAGGATAAGGAAAACCCAGGCCATTTATTAGGCATGCCCTCTGACTTACCGGATCGCCGCGCTCTCCTTTCTGGCCGGCATCACCTTTCTCGCCGGACACACCTTTGGCTCCCGGCTGCGTCGTGCCCCGGAATGTGCCCATCGAGTTGACCATTAGGGATTCCTGTGCGGGTATGTGTGTAGGCATAGTAATTTGTTAAATATTTGCTTGTTGTACAATTTATTTTCGATACATGTATTTCGGGACCCCATTTTTCTGATCTTTTTTCCGCAGCAGGCGGCCCTTTTTGACGAGGGACACCGAAAAACACCATATGAAGCGAGCACACGGCGGAAATTTGATTAATGATCTATTTATTTTTTTTTTTTTTGGTTTTTTTTGGGGGCGGACCGCCACTCAGATTTCGGGGCGGGGCTAATGATGCTAATGAAGTGGTTCTAGTCCATTAAAGGCGGTGGCCATCGCTTACCCCCGACAAACCTTTTTTGGGTCTGGTTTTGTTTTATTAACGAGTGAGTAGTAGTAGTAGTGGGCGGTGGGAACATAAGATGAAATTGTTAAAATGTTTATACCTTGAAGGTCCTGGTTGGATTCCAATTTATCTGTTATTTATGTGTTGATGGTTACAAGAATACATAATTTTCGATACGATTTACGTTTAACAATAATATAGAGCAATGGGCGTGAAATTAGAGCGTATTAGTAGATGGTTTCACTGGTATCAAATCAGAAGACGTCTCAAAATTGCAACCTTTACGGGGGGAAACACTCATGGATATCGGTACTTGGGCATGGGTAATTGGATTTCTGAATAAAACATCTGAAAAAGTGGAAGTCGTGTCAACAATCAAAAGCCGTTCTAATAAACATAAAAGCATTTCCCTCTTAAGGACTCTAAATGCGCCTTTAGAAAGTCTCGGTTAAAATTTAAAACATGAAACGATTCGTACATACCCTTTAAAATAATGGTGCTAAAAATTCTAGATATTTGTGCTTTGATTAGTAATCTCCATTCTTTTTGGAACCCTTTCATTCGTTCCTGATTTGTATTTTATTATTTTATATGCTGGAATTCCATTCCAAAATCCATTTGCTTCCTAGTCCTGGTCTCCGCCCGAATCCAAAGGATAACACAGAGGGTATGACACCCACAGAAAGCTTTTAAAAGGCTCCGGCTTTGTGGGTGATGATAATGATGATAAACCCTCCGACATTAAACAATGGGCGGGCCGACAGGCGAGTGGCTGTCTGATTTTTACTGCCGCCTCGTCGGCCACAAGTAGCTTGACACTTTCATAAACGTAACAGTGCGATAATGATTACGGACCACCCACCCACTGCCTCCCTTTGCCGCCCACTGCCGCCCACTCCACCAAACAGTTAGATGGAAAGAAAAGCGGGCAACATACAGCGTTGAAATGCGGTGATAAAGCCGAGGCGGCAAAAAGAAAAGTTTCACTCTTGCATGAAAGGGTTCAAAGTGGCAACGGTGCGGATGCCAGGAGTGATGTGTTTGCCTTTGTGTGGGTGACTCTGCCTGCTCCCTAGCCGTATCTGTATTTGTATCTGTATCTGTGTGCGTGCTACCGCATTTAACCGCGTGAACTGCGCGCCGTGCGCTGATAACGGTAATTGCCACCAGCTGGAACACCGCCATCGACATTGGCATGTGGCATGCGGCACCCCGAATCATAAGCCCTGAAAACTGAGCCCATTCCCGCCCAAAGGCCGTACTAAGGACTACCGATGCACGGAGAAATATTCCATTAGTGTATGTATAACGTTATGGAAGATAATATCTAGAAAAAAAACAGTTCAGGCAGTAAAACTATTTAAAATGTAAAAATTTACTAAGATAAATCGAATACTGTTTGATCCATTAAGTCAAGCATTTATAAATATCTCTCTTAAGCTTGTATTTTTAATTTACTTGTTTCTCCCAAAATTCTAACATTTCTTTGCTGATCTATAAAATACTTTAAAAGTTTTAAAATTAGATTTTTTAATTAGCTTTTTAAAGAATAATGAATAAAGAATAAAGAAAAAGAATAAAGAATAAAGTAGTAGTTGAGCCTTACATTCTATTATAAACTGTTGACTATGAAATCACCTATTTAAAATATATGATATTTTTTCACGGTGTAGACTCCACTTGACTTCAGCGTCGACACAACGACTCCACTTCAATTTGGGTTAGGTCTGGCGGCTCGCGTGCTCAAGACGCTTACGGTTCGGCCCTATCGTCAGGAGATGTTTCCGCGAAACCTTTGCGGTTTTAAGATTATTAGCAGAGATAGGCCATTTGTGGCATTCGCGACAACGACAATGGTGGCCACTGAACGTGCTCGTGCTTTTTGGCAGGCAGACTCTGGCTCTAAGTCGGAATCTGAGACTATATCCGAAGCTGGCGTGACGCCAGGAGCCACCAGGGTGGTAATTTTTCACAGTTACTGCGCGAGCCAGGAAGGAAATTAGTTTAGGCAAATTGTGCGGCTTGTAAAACACGACGGACGTTTACCTTGGCCAGTCGCAATTCATAAGGATGTGCGTGATTGAAAAACAGACGGACAAGGAGTAGAAGACGAAAGGACGCGGCAGGATGCGGTGTCCAGACATCGAGCAACTGCATTAGCCATCTCACGCCTCTGTTTGCCCAATGTAAAAGGTGCAATTTTGATCGAAAGCAAAGTTTAAACAAGGTCAGGAAAATTGAAAATAATATTATCTTCGATTAGCCGAAGAATTAATACCCTTGTCCTCTATAAATAAATAAATAAATATATAGTTTGAATGATTAATATATTTCTTAAGCAGCTTTACTTTAAAAGATTATAACATAAGTTTACCATGAATAAAGGAAAAGGGTATTAAATCTTTAAAATTAATAATTAAAGACTTAAGACTTTGGAAAATCCAAAGACATTATTGAGCGGTTCAGTGACAAATTCTTTAAAAATGATCTACGTATTTAAGTAAAAGCTTTAAAAATTTTGTTTATCATGAAAACTTGGAAAAATCTTTAACATAATTATAACGAATTTGAAAGCTGTTTAATTTTTATAATTCCTTTTTTACAAGCAAATATTTTACTAATATTATTTTTGATAATATAAATGAAGTCATACATTTTGACACTGGCGGATATAAGAAAATATACCTAATTAAAATATCCAAGATTTCAAATAAATTTAATGTTTAAATTTAAATCTACAAAACCACTTGAAACACTCAATGCACTTTAAAGTTGTGTAATGGAATTCTTCGTGTGAACCCGTTAAGACGTAACTTAGCATATAAAGTTGTAAATAAATTCAAATTGTTTTTTGTTTTTTTCTTTTGGGATACTTACATCGTAATTCTCGGGCAAACCAGGCGGACCCGGTGGTCCCGGCGGACCCACGACTCCGGGCAAACCGTCGACGCCCGGCTCGCCCTTCAGCCCCTGGGCACCTTCGGACCCCCGGGCGCCTCTGGCTCCTGGCACTCCGGTGGCTCCCTGGATAAATGTAAACGGAAGCGAGACAGGCAGAAGAAAGCGGCGGAGGGAAAAAGAAGGGGAAGAAACGTCGCCGGCAGCGACAGAGAAATAAATCACATTAGTGGGCGTGCATATAACGTGTCCTGCGTCCTTAGAGCTACAAATCTACGTCTACATGGCAAGTTCTACACGGTCTACAGGAGCTGCTTTTTGGGTTCGAGTTCGTTTTCGTTTTCGAGCTGGAGTTTTGGGCTCTTTCCTAACTGGCTGCGGTCGATTTACATAATCGTTGCGTTTTAGTCCGAGCTCATTAATCTACGCGACTGGGTTCGGTTTCTTCGATGGTTCGGGGGGCCCCTGGGATTGGGATTGGATTAGGGTTGGGGGTTGAGGTTTTCTTCGGTCCCGACATTCCAATAGCCGACATGGATGGGTACACCCAAAAAAAAAACCGAAAGTTTACAGTTAATACGCGTTGTATTAAAAGTATACTACAGCTAGTATCAAACTGTCAGTATTAATTTAAAACTTAATAATGTAAGGAGCAGACTCAATAGTGTTAAGTTAAGACTAAATAGTGTTAAGTTTATGTCCTGAGTTTAATTTCTATACCGAAGTTTTCGGTTTTCGTTCCTGGTGTGAAGCCAGGATGCTCTGGTTTGGAACCTGGACATTTCGAACAGAAAAAGTGTTACCGCTTTTTAATGCTATTCGGACGCGTTAGTATTTTAAGGGTTTTACATTAGTGTATTTTGTAAACGACGCTGCGGTCTGTTTAAGGTTTGTTTGTGAAAATTACTTGTGAAAATTTTAATATTTGCTTATTTTGGGCTTATTTGAAATGTAAGTACATTTAAATTGTGTCTTAGTCCATAACTATTGAGTAAATTCTTTTCTTTTTACTGACACCACCTTGAATTGCGCTCCAGATGCCGGGAAACTAAGGATCTTGCTATTGGCTTGCATTTTTTCTGACCGCGGCCAGCGCAATGTTTACTTCAATATCAGCGTCCCCGACCAAACTCCGGTGTTCATCTGGACGGCGACCACTCTGGAGATGATCAGCGACATAAGCGGTAAAACTGCATTTGCCCAAATATGCATACACACGTACATATTTTGTACATGTATTGTATTTATGTTTATTTGTTAAATTAAAAATTACCTTCAGTAATTTATAAAAATGTAAAAAATATTTTTAATAATATATGAAAAGTACAGAACAACATTTTTTGAATTTAGTCTCTTTTATACGGGGTATAATATTTATACTGGCATTATACTAAATAGTATACAAAATAAACTAGCACCCTAAATTTCAGTACACTGAGTGAGTATAAACTGTACACTCGTTAGTTTAAACTTGACAACTTCGAAAGTTTCATTTTTATACTTTCGAAGTCCATTAGTTTAATACTCAGAGTATCGAGAAATTTTTGACACTCAATAGTTTACTTTTAATGTAGAAATAGTTTAGTTTCTATGATCATTTTTTTTTGGGTGTACACAAAAAATGTGTCTCCCGATGTTCTTAATCTTATGCAAAATGGTCACGCTGTGAGCCATTTGCGTGCCATGTTCTTGTCGCTGTGTTTGCCTGTGTAGCTGTTGCTTATCGTCGTCTTTTAAATTAATTGCTATTAGTTAAGGGATTAGCAGTGGGGCAGCAAAGTTGTCGCTGGAATTTCCGGTATGCGCGCCAGCTTGCCATATTTCACCGTGGCTGGCAAAGCCTTTTGGGAGGCATTTTGATGGGGGGAAAAGGGGAGGGATTGCTGGGTCGGCGGGTCAGTGGGCCCCAGTTTTTTGGGTCGACGGAATGGGGGAGGGTGCTTAGGGGTAAACTGGCATATTTCCCTAGCAGTTAGCTTCTGGCAATGGACCGCAGAATGCCCGGCATACCGCTTTCCTTTTGATGTATTGCATCGCATTGAAGAGGCTGCGTTCCACAGGTTGCTGGAGTGGCCCAGAAAATGCGAGATTGAATGGAGACTTTGGCTTTAGAAGTGAATGTCTTTGGCCTGCTTTCGCTTTTCAGTTTTCCAGTTTCGTTTTGAATAATTCCCCCAAGTAATGGACATATGCATTCAACGTTTCTATATTTTCGGTTAGCTGCTCAAAGTTTTTGGCCCTGTTGCGTGATAAGCACTTAAGTGAGTCGAGTGGCCGAAAGGAGGAGAGGTTGTAACATTGTGGACTTTGCCTTTGACCCGCACACACACATAGTCACTGCACGAAGTAAATGGCAAGTACATAGTCAAGTGTAGTTCAGCACACACACACTCACACATCGACATGGAGACATCCTTTGTGTATCCAGAGTGAACTCTTATGGTTGCCAAAGACGTTCCCAGTTGATGAGATAATATAACGAGTAGCACCCGGAGAGTGGATAAGTGTTTAAGCGTGAGTTGGCGCATAAAGAAATTTTCGTTACGATTCGGTTCCATTTTCTCCTTTTCCTCATCTTCTTGTGAGTGTGCGTTAACGTTTTTTCCATTTCCGGTTACACGCACACACTCTCACACACTCACTGCACTGTGCAAATTATGATGTTTGACATAGGAAAACATGCAGCCCCTTCTGAAATCGCCCTCCCTCTTTGCCAATTCCCCTTTCCCATCCCCCTTGAAGCCACTCACTCTTGGAGATTAGACGATGTGTGTAATGAAATTGAAAATGTGTTAGATTCATGTCAAATATTGCCTTTTTGCCAACCCGTTGTAACTCGAAATTGCCGTACACACATGATAAGCCCAACGAACGGAAGAAAAACATGAAAGAAAGTTTAGCTCCAGCTACCTACCGATGCTTCAAGTACCTTTCGGATAGAATATATAGTTAGATTGTGTGCAACAAAAATTAAGCTTATGACCTTGAGTTTCTATACCATATTTAGAATGAGACTATAATATCTGGTTTTCCTTTTTTAATGCTTTTTAATCTTTCAGATTTTTTTTTTTTTAACTAAAGGCTATCGGTACTCCTTGAATAAAACTTTCAGGTTAATCCCTTTTCAACTTCCTGCCTTACTGTTTGCCTTAGTCCATAAACCCTAATCAGCTAGAGTATAAAAGTAGATAGAGAAAATCACTTGAAATGAGATGGAACGGTACTTACGGTGTGACCAGGGGTACCTGGCTTTCCATCCTTGCCCGCCGCACCGGGCGCTCCTCGCAACGTTTCCCGCAACGACTCATTGTCCTTGATGGCCTCTAGGATATCAGACGCATTACATGTACACTCGCCAGTGTATTTCTGCGGAGGGATGGAATACAAAACTTAGCACCTGGCTTTTGAAGGGGATCACATTACCGCGGCACATCGTTATGGCAGGCAGGCAATTTCGCGTTGCCCACCACAACGGTACAGAGAAAAATATCAAAACCTTACCTTTAAAATGTCGTTTTAAAGTTTGAAATAAAATTTTGAAATATTACAAAAAATAGTAGTCTACTTTAGGGCTTCTATTCAAGAGATATCGATTCTCTAGCGATTTATGTGGCATTTCCCACTCGAGTTGTAAGTTAAATTATTTATTAAATTCTTTTAGGGGCCCTAACTATTTTTCAAACCATTCCTGACAGTTTTTCTCTGTGTCGATGCTCGCGGCGAATAAGTCTCAATTTGCAATACTCACAGCCCCCGCACTCGTAGTCTCCACAAAGGGCGGATAGGCGGCCGTCTCACCTTTGGGCCCGGGCGGACCTGGCGGTCCCGGCGGACCGCGAATGCTGTCGCCCTTGGGCCCCCGCTCACCCTTCTCGCCCTTGATGCCGCGGTACGCTGTAAAAAAAAGAAAGGAGGGGAAAAAATAAAGTGGCGAAAAGCATTGCATTAGCATATCGAGGACGCATTAGCCAGAGTGGAATGGATTCCAGCGGGGATGGGAATGTGGATGAAATAGGATGGGGATGCACTTACGTCTCTCGTGCGTGTACTGCGTCTGTCCTGGGGGCATTCCACTGGCGTCGAAGATGTCTGTCGCCTGCGGAGAGGGAGATCGGAAATTCATTAAGACTCGAGTGCAAACTGTTGTCGGGCGCATCGATTTCCACTTCGACTGCTCTACGCCCATCCTGGCATTAACTTATAACTAAATATAAATATTTAATTATGCAAAGTGCAGCCACACTGCTGACCACTGCTGCCGACCAATATCCCCATTTTATGGCTTTTCAAGAGCACTGTCAATAGCAATAGCAAAACAATGCCAGTGCAAACTCAGCTGCACTTGTTTAATGCACTGACAATTACTTTAGTTAATTGCATTCCGATTAATCGGACAGCAGACTAACCTCGTCCCAAATAATATCATTTGAAAGATCCACTTCCGTTGAGTCTTCGAAGTTCTCACTCTAAAGGGGCGAAAAATATGGAAAGTAGGAAAGGGAAACGAATAAATAAAGGTTGGGGTAAAAATATATAAATAAATTAAAATTTTAAATCAACATACCGTTCCAGATCCTTCGAAAAGAACAGAATCCTCATCCTTAAAAAAATAAATTAAAGTATAAATAAAAACCAACAAATAAAACAGGGAAACTAAATTTTAAAAATTAATGTAAGTTTACAAATAAAAGAATTTAATATTAAAAGTAATTTTCCTTAACAATTGGCTTTTGTTCGAAATTAAAATGTGCTAATGGGATTTGCAAATATTACAAAGGACTCACTTAGAAATTTCAAGTGCAAAATTGATTTTCAAAATTGTAGCCTTAAACCAACAAGCTTATCCTCAATAATTCACAAATATAACTTTACTATGCCCGGATTAAAAATACATCATCACATAAGCAGAGTCTGATTACATGTTATTTGCAGCATTAGTAGTCTCAATAAATAAACGCAAATCCCATGCAAATATTCTCTCACTTATGCGGACAAAATGCAATTTTAATGTAATTTATCAGTAAGATGATTTGCCCGGCCATTCATTAATTAATTTAAATGCCAACCAATCCATTCTGTTGGTTTAGCCGTCGATGGTGATGACTTACCGCCGTGGTGGGAGCGATCGTTGCCTTTGGGGGCGGCATGCATGTGACGTTTATGGCATCGGGATTACCATAGACATTGATTTTTTCTAAATAGCCCTGTGTTAAATATTAACGTTTGTGTTAGAAGCGAATAAACGCATAATACATATGCGTGTATTGCGAGTGGAATAATTTTCGAAACGCTTTTCATCGAACCAGTTGCACAATGGATGCCCACAGTCCCATACATAATAAATCAATCAATTTGTATATACATATACCCCGTACATCTATTAAGTATATCCATAGCGTAGGCCCAGTCGTAATGGCCGCAAATCGAAATTTATTATTGATGTTAATTTGCAACAGTGACTGCCGCCGCTGCCGCTGCCGCCCGGACAACTAATGTGCCGTGGTTTTGGATTTAGAATTACAATTAAGCATGCATATTTCACATTAGCCCAGAAGGGGCCTGCCTGGATAAATAACCACTTGCAAGCAGGCAGTCGCAGTCGAACTGCTAACCGCAGATACTAACTACGGTACATGGAATACGAAATGCTCCAATGAAGACAATGAACCACAAACAATGCTGCTATGCTGTGTCCGGAGTCCTTTCTCCCGAGTCCTTAGTCCTGTTCCTGCCTGCAGACACAGACGCAGACTCACTTCCCGCAGATAGAGGCACAAATGCTCAATGCACATTTGCCCATAAACTCAACCCCTGGCAAATAAAAATGGCAGCAAACACTCAGGCCCAGGACTCCGATTTCAGGACTTTCAGGACCAGGCCGAGGATCCCAGGACTAAGCCACCGTAATGGCAGCCGGTTATTTCAGTTGTTGCTGCCACTACTACCGCTACTGCGTCCTGTGAATGATAGTAATGGCCGAGGACCTTTTATGTTCCCCCGCTTACCTAAAAAAAAGTTTTGTCTGAGACCCTAACTCGTTGAATTTCGGGTTAAAAGCGTGCTGGCAAGGCTCACAATGGCTTAATATGCGCCAAGTCTGTGGCGGACTCACTAGCTGGCTTTTTGAACCCGAGGTTTATGGAGAAAGAAAGGTAAAGAGGCATACTTCAAACTAAAATGCTTTTTTTCCATCTAATAAATACATTTATTTTATTCAAACTCTAAATACAAAATAAATTATAAGAAATCCATAATATTTAATTTACCTTCGAAAGGAATTATGCTTACTTAGTAAATAAAATTTAAATGTTCAGCTCAAATTCGAGAAATTTAGTTGAGTATTTCGGAAAAATACCAATTATATTATTTCTTTACAAAATAATATCTGATTTTGACAGTCCCCCGCGCATAAACGCTGCCAAACTTTTGTCAATGACAAGGCAAGGGGTTCAGCGAGGATACACAGAGATAGGAGCCGAGGGGATGATAGTGGGCTGTGGGTTGTAACACACACGTGGCCCATCAATAGACATTGAAGTGAGCATTGTTCGCCATGTAGCTTGTTGCTGTTGTGCCATTGAGTGCGGATATTAAAGTTTTCGCTTTGTTTCGGGCTTTGCTTTGTTTTGGTTCAAGAAAACTATGCGCTAAACAAATGGCAAGCCGGCGAAAATCACTGGTCGGAGAGCCGAAGCATGAAAGCAATGTCCGTGCTTGTGTCCGGGTCTCTGTCCGTATCCGTGTCCGTACCGCTGTCCGTAAAGCCATTCCGTCCGTGGTCGCGTCCGTGTGGCCCAGTTTCCATTGGAGCACGTGCTCCTCGCTTGTATGTGTGTGCAACAAAATTAGCAGCAAGGAAATTCACTTGAAACGGAAATTAAGCCGCAGGAAGTGGCATTTTTGGGCGTGAGTCGACGTCGCCATTTTGGATGTTTTCGCTGGCTCTCATTATTACCTGCATTTTGGGCTAAGTAAATTGACAGGCAGCCGCCATTGAGCACTTGCCCAACAATGGAAGAGCAAAATGTCCTTTCTGTATCGCATTTCAGGGGAGGAAGTCCCTTTTTATAAAGAATATCACATTTCTCGTTGGAATAATAATTACTGTGGCCATATTATTACGTGGACATTTGCTTAGCCAAGTATGAGCTTTCGCATTTCGACTTATCCCTTATTTCAATGCGGATCTGCCGAGGAAAAAAACTATCTGGGCATCGCAAAAAGGACTTAACCTCGACGGCACCGAGAACCCTTTTCGACCGCTCCTTGAGTGGGACAGAAATTCAGGGCGATGAACTGATAAGAGGACATCAAAGTAGCTTGCCTCCGCAATATTGTGCACGACAACGAGCGGCTGCAAAGGCAACTGTCCGACGAAAAGGCGCAAGTAAACAAGTGTACGGAGAAAAAATATATAAAATGGTATATTAAAATGGAATTGTTTCTAAGGCGTTTTTCAATCACGGCCCTTCAATGCAAAGTTTAACTGAAAAAACGGAATAAACTTACAGAAAGTGGAGTTGCTTAAAACTAATTTCATTGGAAAATTAGAATGCAGTTTTCAGATACTTAGTCAGACATTTTATAAATATTTTATCCAAATGATATATTGCCATTTAAAGATAAAGATTTTTCATGATATCCTTGGTTAAATAGCAATAGGATCTGAAAGGTTTTAAAATACCATTCAAAATCATATTATTGAACTGTTATTTCCTGACATTCTGTGCGGTCTAAATTACGACTACAAGTGGCCAATAAAAAATTGTAGAGTTCTTTTCTCAGTGCATTCGTGGATTGCGGGGGCGGACGACAACAGCCGTTGTGACAGAGGGTCAAGCGCAGACAAAGGCCGCTTTTAAATAACGAAAAGCTGGCCGCAGGCAAAAGAAGCATTTTCGGTGCCCGAGATCCTGGTGGAATGTGATTTTAAGGTGAGCATTTAGTTTAAATAGTGTCAGGCCAAGAACAGTGGGCTCAGGATGGACTTCTCAGTCTCGGCAGCTGCAGGTCGGTCAAGTGGCGCAGAGAGAGAGAGCTCCGAGTGCCATGAGCAATTAACTGGGCTGAAAGTGCATGTGCACATGGGCTGCATTGCATGTGTGCTGCTGCTTGTGCATTTGTTGTTTGTTCTGTGCCGCACATAATTAAGGCCAGAAATGAACTGAAATGCGAAAGAAGCGGAGCAAGGACACAACAGCCAAGGAGCAGGGAGCGGGGATGGAGGAAGGCAGAAGGTGCGGTAATATTTGCGCAACAGCGAGGCATTCATTGCCTAGCAATGAGTCCTTTTACTTCTGACGAGGGTTCGTTCTGCGTATTGAAAATAAAGCAAATAATACGCAAATCGTTGACCCTTTTCCATTTGCCATTCGCCATTCGCCGGAAAACCAGAAAGGTAGACCGGCCTTTGTCCGTGCTCCTCAAATATGCGAGACACGTTTTCAGTTGCGAGTTGCAGGACAAGAAAAAGGACTCCCAACTTACAGGCCACCACAGACGTTACTCACTCCGCTCTGCGGCTATCTGGCAATTTGTCAAAAATGTGTCAATAATGGAGATCGATTGGGGGCTCTTAAAAATTAACCGAAAATGGATTCGGATTCCGAGTCCGACAAGTCGAATGAAATCCATTGCCAGACAATAACTCTTCAATTGTCTCAATCAGAAACTGGGGCCCGGAATCAATGTTTATAGAAACTATAAAATGTTATTTGTGTTTATTTACTAAACAAGATTTATTTATTTTAGTCGTGGACAGGCGGAGTTTTACTACACATTGTTTGACAAATGTTTATTTTTTATGCCATTTTATTTATATTGAACTCTTGTATTCAATTGTATGCTACACCGAAAAAAGGATATATAGCTTAAAATATATTTAATGGCTTTTCTTCATCCTAGTAAAAGCGTGCCAAACTTTTAGCGGAGGTCATAACTCAAGGCAGCTTTATATCAAGCACACCTAACCTGGCCTGAATTATACATAATAAAAACTTAAAGCCTAGTTTGAACTGTGCTCCCAATGCCACTGAATGTCTGCTCCTGACGCCACTTGCCTCCCAACATGCCCCCTTTGTTGTAAGAGTTAAATTCTTAATTAAGCACAAATATTTAATAAGTGAAATTTACGGCATGCAGCGGCATCAAAACAAAGGAAAGCTTTAGGCATTAAGATTACCATAAACTTGTTTCCGCTGACGCTGCTCGTATACGCTATATTTCTCAAAACTTATTGAGGGGCTTATGGACTACAGATTCCTTAAAAATAAATGTTATGTTAGGAAAAGGATTGGGAATTTATTATAGGATAAAATATTTTATCTTTACAAATCCTGCGTAATTTTCTTGAACGTTTTTTGTAAGAAATAAATTTTATGAAAGATTATCCAACTTTTTATGCATTTCTATACAACCCTTTAGAACACAATAATTTAATATACTAAATTATAATCAAGGGTATTAATAATTTCGCTTGATTCCTGGAAGCTTTTTTAATTTTTCTCATTTCGCTTTGCCTCTTATATAATGACAATGGCAGCCACTGCCAGAACAACAGCGGAAACGGATGTATATATAATATTTTACGTTGGTGGCTCCTAATTCGCTCGCGTGTGCTTGTGTATCTGTGTCCTTAGTACCGAGTTCTGAGTCCTCAGTCCTGAGAATCCTGCACTCGCACCCTCGAAAAAGTTATGCTCAAGTTAATAGATAATTAACCATGCAAATTGCCGCGCAACAGTTTACAGATACGGGTCTCATCCTCGTCATCATCGTCGTTTTCATTATCATCCTCATCAGATTCAGTGTCGCTGTGTCACCGGCTACATGCGTAAGCACTTTGACTGCGACCCACTGCCGACTACTGCCGACTACCTGGGCCACCTGCCAGGTGTCTCTGCGCGCTCAAGTACAAAAGAATTAACTCTAATTACTTTGTAATGTTGATTAAGCCTGTTAGAGCGCATTAAATATGTAAGCGACGTTTTGACATTTTCAGCATATTTGCCAGCGGCTTTTAAGTGGCAAAAACTATATGAGTTATGCGCATTTACCACTTGACATCCCCAGTTAACATAATTTCGGCTGGAATTTGGCTTCAATTACGTAACCGCAGAAATGTGCAAACAATTCTGTTTCAATTCGTTTCAAGGTATGTATTTTCAATAGCCGCACGAATTGAAATGGGAATACCTGAAAATGCTGAATTTAAATTCAACTTTTATGGCCGCCAACGACAGGCGGCCGACAGTCGACAACAAACAAATGCCAATCCAGCCAGGTAACTCGGAGAACTCAGAGAACTCGGCTCTCGACCTGGCCAAGGTACCCGGGTCATAGCATAGTTTCTAAATCACTTTCTGACAGCCGTTTCGGCCCTCGGTAAAAAAAAAAAACACAAACAAAAAAAGCGAAAAGGAAAACACCGGAGCAACGAGGATAACAATCGCAACGTCAGAAAGTTGCGCACTTTTTGTAATTTTATTTTATTTCCGTTTAAATGCGTGCCCGCCCCCTCGTTGCCACTTTTCACTTTTCGGATGAGCTGGGTTGAGGTTTGGTGCGATTTTAAAGCTAAATTATAGCAGCATAAATTTTTACGGCCCTTTTTGAAGACTCGAGCTTCTTGGCGGCCCGAAATAAGGCAGTGCCCAGGTGCAGGACTTAATTCCCTTCACTCTGCACTTGACTCGCAAGTTCCGTTTTTTTTTTGACACTCGGCGGCCGTTTCACATTTTATTTGATGCCCATTTTTTGCCTCTTCTTGTTTTGCATATAATCAGAATAAATTACTTTGCACATTTTGCGGCACATAAATTATTTAAGAAATAGTCGCATCAAAGCGCAGAGGGCACATTATACAAAATTCGTACATAAGGGATACTCCACCTCATAAGCATGGCTGTATTTTATATGATTTCATATTAAAAGAAAACAATAGTAAACATAGCTTAATTATAAAAAATAATACCATCTCCTTAACTGTCCAAAAATCATAAATGAAAACCTTTTTCAAAAAATTACTTTCAACAAAAGCTTAAGCATTTTTTAGCACAAGAGTAATGTGAAAACAAATGGATAAATAGATTTTTTAGAATATACATAAGTGATTCTAACAAAATTTAGACCCGAAGTTCTTCTCTAAATATTTCTTATATGACATTATTTTGAATGTGTATACTTTTCAGTGTCCGTGTGCAGCGAGCAGAAGTGACTATCTAAATAGTGGCAGAGAAACAGAAATGGAAACACAAACTGAATCTGAAAAGGAACTGGAAATGCGGGGAACGAAGGAGCAAGGGGAGCAGGGGGATCTGGGCCTCAGTCAGGGGACCGAAAAACAATGAGACGGCAAATGCCAACCGCATAGTGACAGATTTTTTTTAATTTTGCTAAAAACCTACGACTAATTCTCAAACGAGCTGACACAAATCTCGAAAAGTTTTTGCGCCAACGTTTTGCAGAAGCGTCTGTCGGCCGGTCCTTCAGTCACTTTGTCCCTCTGCCCCTCCGACTGTCACAGTGCCTATCTGACTGCCTGTTTATCCTGGGGAGTAGGTACAGGGTAAATATACACAAGTATATACATATGTGTCAGCTGCAGCAGAAAAATTCAGCAGAGGAGCTTTTGGGTTTTTACTACATATATGAAAAGGGATTTTATACTAAATTGCGCCAGTTAAAAAATGTTATTATTTTGTCATCAAAGAATTAGTAAACCTAAAATTGTGAAACACAAACAATTTAAATTTTTTCATAAGATTAACTCATTTGTTGTTCCTTTGCACCGATTTTATCACATAAAGTCATATATTTTATGCCTATGAAACACTTTTTCTTAATTAATTTATAAAAACATTTTTTCCATTTTGTTTATTTAGGTGACACTTTTCTGCCCAATGAATTTATTACGATGTTTGCACCTATGTATTTATGTTTCCTGGCCCCAAGACAAAATACAAAAAGCGTAAGGGTCACAATTGCATTTTATTGTTGGTCAAAAGTGCCGGCTACAATTAGTTTAAAACGAGAAAAAGCTCACAAAACCACAACAAAAAATTTACAATTGTGAATAAACCAACATGTTATGTGTATGTTTAAGATTTGTCAGTCTTTATGTGCCCAGTATATATGTGTTTGTATGTTGATTTAGACAGTTTTATAAACCCAAAGCAAACAGACTGTGACAACGTTGCGTATACGCAGCGTAAACCGTTCTCCTGAGGCAGCAGCAGCTGCAGCTTCTAACTACTAGAGCAAAATATTCAGCAATCCAAATGCATTGCAATGCGGATGTGCAAAACGAAAGTTTTGAAAACAGGAAGGATGGGAGAATTTTGGGTCAGATGTTTTCCGAAATCTACTTCAAATCCATAGTTCATAAGCCCAACTATCCTATCCCCTCACAAATTCAATAGCCCTATTCACAGTTTATTTCTTTTCAATATGCAGTCCACTAAAATCCTGAACAAACTACTAAAGGAAGCCCCTAAAAATACAAAAGGAAGCAGTGAGATCGCCGAACTGCGAAAACTAATAGTCGAACTGATGAAGCCCCGCCTGGAACCACTTCGTCAGATCTTAAGGATTCGCATGGTGCCTGCAACCCGAGATGAGTTTCAGGATGAGTCCGAGGACTGGTGGCCAGATTACGAACTGTACTCCAATTGGCATGCCATCACCGACATGAACGTGAGTTTTAATATCATAATTCTATTCTCTTAATATAATAATACAAATTTGTTTTGTATTTCTCAAAAGGGTCTTTTAGTCTGCACTCAGGATGCACTAAAAGGATTGCCCGAAGATCTAAGAGCAATTGGTGAAAAATTCGACTATGCCTATTCGGTTGCAAAGCCAAAATCGATTCAGCATAAGACGAAGAACTACGTTTTGGTGGACGAATTAATCGAGGACATGGAAGACTTCGTCACGAACTTCAGCCGCCTGTGCAGCAAGAATCTCGACGATCGAAGAAATCTCCACGATTTGGCTTCGTTTACGTTGGACACAGGTGACAGGATCAAGGTGAAGATCTTTGACGAACGCACTTTTGTGCAACTCCAGTCGCGAATTGCCAGTCTAAGGAACTATATTCGCGACTTCTGCACCCTTTTCGACGCCCATGTGGAGTCGAAGGAGGAGGTTGAGTCTGTACCCATTGATAAGTTGGCCAAACCCCAGGGAGACGTTGATAGGGCCCAAACTTAAGCCAGATCGATCAGGAAGTCATCTCGTCCCTTATTCCCTGGGCATGGCTTCCAACGCTGCCATTGTACAATATCCACACTAGCAGATACAGATACATGACTCCGGCATGGGCGGTAATAAAGAGCTCGCCTCCAGTGTATTGGAGTATCTGGGAAAGCTTTTTATGCTTCAAAGTCAATATAGTAGTGTGCCATGTACAGAGCGCACAGTTTTAAAACGGTAAGTATGCCTTTCAGTTACGTGGTCGTGTGTGGTGACACACTTGCCCCTCTACCAACCACCCACCGGCCCATCGGCCCTCAAACCCTCCAACCCTCCAACCCTGCAGCCACCCACCAACGGCCCCTTGTCAATGGGCTGTTAGTTGCTCCGAGCACAGACGCCATTCAAGCGGAAATGCAGCACCGAAAGCCGGCTACAAGCTACACGGAGAGAAATACTAGTTTATTACATTTTATATTTGAGATTGTTCATTCATGTGATGCGGTTAATTCAAAGCCTATTTTAAAATTGTTAATACTTTGAAAATATTGTAATATAAATTAATTTAAAATTAATGATGATTAATTAAATTATTAAATTATTTTTAAATCAAATGAGCTTGAAATTATATTTTTCAATAATATTTTAAATCTATTTGGAGGTAATTTCTGTGTCGTTTAAGATGTTCTTGGTTCAAAAACAAAGAAAATAGAGTCTCAGTTATTATTTAGTTTGAAGAGACTAGTTCTATAATTTTTCAAGATTTTGTACCAAAACCTTGAGATGTTAAAATTAGTTTTTTCCTCTGTTTTTTGGTGAACGGGCACACGGCAACGAAAAAAGAGCCAGAACCAGAGAGCCCGAGGCAGAAACCTCCATGTGAAGTGTGTCATCAGTTTAAGGTTTTTGTGGGCAGCACTCGCACACAGACGGCACATCCACTCATACAAACACACTCACACACACACAGATACAGGCTCAGAGGGCCGGAGAAAGCGATACGGAATACGGAGCTCCACTCACGAGACCGAGCAGCCCGTATTTTCATAATAAACAAATGGGTTGTATGGTTGGTTGGCTTAACTTTCGGGTTGCCAGCAAGTCGCAGATAGCAGATAGCGACAGCCACCGCTTCTTATTTGTTAGCGCAAATCAGTGCTATTTATATTGCGGCGGTGGAAAGGTATATCCTGGCATATCTCCCCCATCCATATCTGAATCTGAGTCCCAATCCCGACCCCTGGGGGCATCGCAGTGCGTGGCGCTTGTCAACACGCTTGCCAACTGCAGTTCGGCAGCGAGGGCTGCATCCAATTTGCAGAGCAGCGGGAAAAGTGCAGCATACTCAGATGCAGATGCATCCGCACTCGGAAAAAAACAACTATTTGCATTAATTATAATAAGAGGGGTAGCATTTGTTTAAAAATGTAAATTCAAAGTGTTCTTTTGCCTTGAAATTGTAACATTGGCAACTACAAAATTTATTTCTAAGTAGCTTTTTGTGATTTTAATTTAAGCTTTCAATGAATATTAATAATTTAATGCTTAAAAAAATATATACGTCTCAAAAATTCACCGAAGATTAGGACATAGTTAAAATTTGTTTAATAAAACCTTATACATTTTTATAATACTTTTTTTTACTGGGCATTTTTCAAGAAGGTTGTATCACCTCTAAAATCAAAGACAAATATTTCAGAAATGTAGCTAAAACTCAGAGCCTCAAAATGCCGCTTATCAGCATCTGCAGAATGCATCACAGTTGCAATCTGAAGGCAGAAACTTCCTGCGCAGGTTGTCAATGCAACAAGTTCAAAAAGGGCGAAAACTTTGTTGTGCCTATCGCAGCGTCGAGAAACCGCAAGAGTCGGGCAAAAGTTGCGCTATCTATGCCATCAAAATTGAACTACCACCGTCCTCGAACTTCTGGCGCAGCACAATAATAAATTTATTACGGACGCTTGGCGGGGCGTGTCGACGTCGTCATCGAGTTTCGAGTTTTCCAAGTTCCAAGTCTTCTACGACTCCTTGGGTGCGTGCAGCTCCCATCCCATCTGCCTGCTAACCCGTAGTTATAGTGGCATGCTGCGCTTTAATAAAATATTATCATAAACGTAACGGAAGCTAGTTTTTCATATGCTTATTCCCAGCCCGTGGATGAAGCTTTCACAAATATCCGTATTTTTGCTCCGCCGGTGTTTCCTTTTCCTTTGCAGGATAGCAACGGGAGTAATATGTTTTCATAAATCAAATGTACGGAGCGTTGCTCAATATTTAATGTTTCGCCTTTCGGAATTTATACACATCAGGAATGTGGGGATTAGATTTGAAATTTCCTGAAGTAAAGCTTCCAAGCACGACACTCATGAATATTAAAAACTCGTTTCTTTTATTCAAGGCAAAAGGTAAAATCTGTAGAACTTACTTAGTAGGTAGAAATACTCAGAACATTGGCTTAAGATTAGGCGGTATTTAGTGCAGAATGGAAATATTTAATAAGTGCCTTTTTAAGAGCCAGAGAAAGGAATTTAATTTTTAAAAGTAACTATATCTAGGTTTATTTGATAGTAAACACGGACTCGTTTCCCATTCGTTTCTTCCTTGGCATTTTGTTTCTGTGTTGGCCGGAAACTTTCCTTCTGCTTCTGAGGCACTCGGATATTTTCATTATTTATTGCCAGCCACGAATGCACATTCCCGTATGTGTTTGTCTAGGTAAATCTAGGGGAATGCTTTTCCGGTAGTTTTTTATTGCTCAATCGAGACGGGCTAGTGGGAGGCAATGCTAATGGTTGGCCACTTTGTTTCCATTCCGCAGAAATGTCGATGGAATTCAGACTGAATGCGGGTGTGAATGGCTTTTTTATGCCTTCAAGGGGATACCACATAATAATGTATACCTTATTAATTGGAATTGCGCAGTAGAAAAATCGACGAGGAGCTCTGTAACACAATGCTTGACAGGCCATAAATGTCCAACGACTTTCGACGAGTCGAGTCGAATCGAATCGCTAAATGCATTAACTATAATTGACTTTCGCCTAATTTCGCTTTTGGGTAATTAGGCGCTAATGAAACCTAATAGACCCTGCCTCGAAAGCCACATATCTAAGCCCTGGGAGTTCGGGGAATCAGTCAATAAGCCAACTGCCGCTGGCACTGGATAACCACCTCGTATTAAGCAAGGACAAATTGCCTGTCAATCTACGTGTAATTTTTATAAATTTCCAATTGTGCGCCAGCCGTTTTTTCCTTTCCTTCCTTACCGATTTTTCCCTTTCTTCCCCGATTTCAGCTTGGGGTCGTAATTAACAGCGCCAAGGAAACTAGGAAAATAGCGACAACAACCACGGCGAGCTCGTGTAATGTAAGCCACTGCTAATGAACCCATCGCTTGTTGGTAGTGGGAGGTAGTGGGTAATAGAAAATAGCAGGAGGTGGGTGGTAGTGGGAGGTGCCAGGTGAGACAGCCCATGCAGAAATGGCTTTATTAACAGCCTGGCTTCGCCTCACCTCTCACGCTCCCGTTTTTAGATTTTTATTGCTAAACTTTGTTTCTTTGGTTGTTGGGCTTGTTTTCCTTTTCGCATTCACCACGTTTATTTGGCTATGCACTGTGAAAAAAATATCAAAGATAAATCTTAGAATATTCTGATAGTAAAGATGCCTAACAAAAACTTAGTACAAGCATTATAATTAATACTTTTAATGTTTCTTTTTATATCTTAAAAAGAACTCTATAATAATATACAATAAAAATTAACTCTATAATAACATAGATTTGTGTTCTCTTGCATTTCGTACCACCTTTTCTATGTATGTAGCTAGAAATAAATGGAAAAATAGAGCTGGCGACTATATTTTTCCGTATCGAAGCCAACCCGTTAACGCTTGTCGACATTCACTTCGCCCGTTCTCATGCGACACTTTGAATGTTTTAAATGGTTTTTTATTGCCTCGCCCCTCGCCATTTCCTCGCTTTCCGCGAATCCCCCGTCTGTATCCTTGTTTTCGCCCTCGTCCTGCTCCGGTGCTGCATAAAATTAGTTTAATCACTGTTTTCAGAGTCGGGTGAAAGGCAGGTGAGAGCGAGCCAAGCCCATAAGTAAGCGTAAATAATGTCAAAGCAGTGCAACTATAGGGAAGGACATCGCCCCACCGCCTGCCCCGCCCACAACGGGTGTCAATAGAAACATTAACTGGGCGTGCTGACAAAATTAGCACAACAATTATGCAGGTATTAGTCGAAGTTTGCTCGTATTGTGGCTCTCTATTGGCTGGTCCTTTGGGGAGGTGGGTCCTTTGAGGTGGAAACAATGGAAACGTTTGACAGGAAAGAAATGGTTCTATCAACAGGGGAATAGGCGACCTTTGTCCTTTTTCTGCTGCCTTTTTAAGAGTCCATTATTTGACTAAGTTTTGAAGAACTGGTACAATATTGGGTGGGAAATAAACACTCTATTTATTTAATTGGAAAATTAATAAAGGAGTATTTATATCACTAACAAACTTTGTGCTTTCGTTCATTTATAGTAATTAGGCATTAAATTTATATATATAAGTTATATAGATTTATTATAATATAACTCATGAATTTGGTCAGAATCCAACAGCTCTTCTCAAACTCAAACAATACCTTGCCTATCTTGCATGTTAAAGAAATGGCTTAATATAAGAATAAACCAAACTAATCAAAATCAGGCACACACATCAAAAGCAGTTAACTTAATTAATTTTAAGTGTGTTTTCTCATATTCCATTAATTTGAAATGCAATGCTATTTTCTAAACACTATTAAATTATTTCCTCTCTGCTTGTCACTAGTTTATCATATTGTGTGAAAATATTTTGTGGTAAACCAGTTAGACGAGCTTCATCAATTTAATTTTCTAAGCTGCTAAGAAAATCACATTCCACCGGCCACAAAGGTTAAATGGTTCGCCAAATACTTGTGCAATTCTTTTACGAATAACAATTTGGAAAAACAACCAAAGTCCATTAAGGGACAATGTAAAAAACACTTTGACGGAATATCATTTAGTAATTTAAACCGCAACCCAACCGTTCATGAAATGGATTCCGCAAACCAGTCGCAAAAACTCCCATTGCGTATACGCCATGTGGACAATAACAAAGCTCACAAGCACAGAACTTAAACCCCAGCTCGTTATAGGGGACACAAGAAGTACTGGACAGGTGAGCGGACCCGTGTCAGGTTTATCAATTTATCTTGTGACCGAGCGTCGGCAACAAAATGCTTATAATGTGCTCTAATAATTGCAATGGCTTTTTATTTGTACGCTGCGCAACAACAATAGTAGCTTTTCACCTGGGGCCAAAAGTGGTAACGGGAGGCAGGTGTTTCGCTCGGCCAGAGCGAAATGTGCTGTTGTCATGAAACATTTGTCACAATAAACTTTATTTGTTTTCGTGTACTGCATGTATACGTGCACAGAAAACAATAGCATGGCGGTAATTATAATTTTTTTATTTTCTAACTAAAGTTCTTAATTGCTTGTTTTTATAATAAAATGCTTAAAGTTTTGGTTGCCCGCAAATAAAGCAATTATTTTAAATTAAATAATTATATCTACTATTTTAAAACATAAAGAAATATAAGTAATCCTTTAAAAATTTCTATTACTCTTATGTCTTATAAGGAAACTTCTTATGCATAAGATGGTTAGAAAAATGTTATCCGTTTAACAGATTTTACTGCTGGCCAAGTGGACATGATTATGAGATATAAAAAATATGGTTTTGAACTCGTGCACTCTGGGGCTTTAGACACTAAACTTTAGTGGTTGAAATAAAAAAGTTTATTCCTTTAAATCGTAATTTTGACCCTCATTTCCAGTGTAGACCGTCGCATGCTTTATTTGCCCTCCGCTCGCTGTGACTGCGACGATGTTTGCCAGTGTGTGTTTAAAAGTTTCCTAACTTGTTGTGGGTGCTGGCTGTTAGTTCTCGGTGTGTTTGCTGTGTGCGTGTTGGACGCTCGTAAGCCGCGTTCTAGCCAAAACCCCCCCCGGCCTACTCCCAGCGACAGACCCTCATCCTGGTCAGAACTGGAGGAATCCCAGCCCAGGAGCTCACAGCGGTGACATTTGTTTGCATTTAGAGGGGCAGGATGTCAAGCATTTACCATTTAGCATTTAACATTACACATTACACAGTTCGTAATGTTTAGATGCTTGGCGAGCCTCGTAAAGTGGTCGCAAACGCAGAAACAAAGGGCATACTGTGCGCCAGACACGTGTTGATTATGATTATAATTAATTGGCTAGTTCTTTTTAATTAGTCTGAAATGCCATTCGGTTTGAACGCAACCCGAAAACTTGTTGCGGTCAAGGGTTATGGGTTAAGGGGTTATGGGTTAGTTACCTGAATCCTAGCTGCCACCCGTTCGCCGTTGTAGCGGTTGGGATTGAACCATCCCTTTGTGGAGCCCGTTACGAGGACGATGCCGAGCAGGAAGAAGAGAATCAGCGCGGTAATCACGAGCTTGGCACGCGTCGATATAACCATTGCCATTTTGTACGATATTTACACGTCCCGATTCGACACCGATTCGATATACAACACTTAAAGCACTACGAAATCAGCAACGCAAACGAAATGAACAACGGAATAACGGAACAACCGGCGACGAATAGAATTGCCTGAAAGAAAATGCATAAATTGGAATATTAATTAGCTGAGGGTGGGTATATTGCCTTGGCACCGCCACACAAATGGTTTGGTTTTCGCTTCTGGTTCGATTTGGGTTCAATTTCGTTGTTCGACGATAGTGATGGGATATTTTACTTAATTTTTTATTCCCGAATTTTGGTTTTTGATTTTAGATTTTTATGTCAAACCCTTTTCGCTGTAGTTTCAGCTTCCGAAAAATGTAGGGGCCTTTTATATAGTGGTTTATAGATTACATGTATTTAAATGGAAGTACCTTGCTGAACATCTAGGTACTGCTTAACACTGGCCATCTCTGGTTATTGAGATGTCGGCAAGTGTATTTGACCCGCTTGGACTTTGGCTTAGGGATATTGCTGGCTCTGAAGCTGATGCCTAATGGCTTTTGTGGCCAAGTCTTAACCTTGCGAACTCCCCTACCTTGCGAAATGTTTTTGTTGGTCGCAGGAAGGAAAGAAGGTGCTCTCCCAGCCACAAAGCGTTTTTGTACACATGCCACAAGCACTCGCACATGTAAGGCAGGGAACTCACACCCACACCCACACTCGCACGCCCCTTAACAGGCACTCGACCAAGGACCCCCGACCCTCACGCTCACTTCCTGTAAACGCTACAAATGTAATACGTTTTATTTAATTCTGCTTCCCGTATTTTTTTCTTTCCACCCGTCGCTTGTCAGCATTTTCTCACTGATTTGCGACGCCAAGGGTGGCGGCTGAAAAATATTACTTAGGGGCGAGGAAAGGGCTTGTTGACACCCTCGAAAAAGGAATTTCCTACTAAGTTATAGCAGGAAGAAAATGTTTGAAATTAGGCTTGTATGGAAATAAAAATTAAATTCTTAGCCATAAGTTTGATTTGGTTTATTTTAGAGCATACCCAATTTATCATCAGGTTGCAACCTTAAAATCCCAAAAGTCAGCGGTAGCACTTGAAGTAAACTTTGCGAAAAGTTAAGCTGCCAGCAAGTTTATTTGAAAAATATTGAATTATAGCAACGTCAAAGGCAAGGAATGAAGGCAGCTTTGAAAATTGGTCACATGTTCGCAAGATGTCTTGCTAAGAGTTTTCCTTTCCCTTTTTTTTTGGCTTTCGTTATTTTTTTTTTTTTTTGGCAACCGCATAAAGGCATAAGCCGAATGTTTTGCAGCGGGTTATGAGGGTGTCCTTGAGTCAGTGCACCCCCGAAAAAAACCGAAAGTAAAATAAAAATAAAATAAAAAGCGAGCAGCAACTTTGGCAACCTACATAATTGCGGCAAAAGTTGGCCCAACACACTCACACATATAAGCCGAAAAAACACAGATACACTCACACAACAACAACTTATTACGGGGCTAAGAGTTGGCTCACAAAAGTATGCTACAGCCAGGGCATAATTACGATAATCGTGTCAGTCTAGAGCCACCAGCAGCGTCCATGGGCTCAGCTCTCACCTAAAGTCTTTAACACCCGGCCACGCCCCCCCAAAAGTCTGACACGCCCATTTTTTGGGGTAAAGCCAACCAGTTATTGAGTCAACGAGTCGGCGTCGGCGGCGTAACACAAACTTTTTGTGCGCGCCCAAAAAGTGGAAGCCCAAAAGGAAACTTTTTTATGCCAAGTCAAGCGACTGGCCCACACCTCTGGTGGGGATAGGATCGTCCTGCTCTTCACGCAGCATTAAAATTCTGCGACTGCCGGCTCACGAGCCGAGTTTAAGCTTAAAGTTTGACGCGGTTCAAGTTTTCTAATGAAATTACCTTCTCCCCGGTCCTCAGCCTCTACTCTTAATGAAAAGGGGCAAGCTTGTGCTACTGAGAGAAAAAAAATAATAAGTAGAAGGGCGATAAGGAGGAAATTTCATATCTTTTACCAAATTAAGTACACACAAAAATGAGTAACGACTTTTGAAGTTGTCATGGCGGCCATGGCCAGCAGAAAGTTAAATCCCACAGGGGCGAAAAGAAAGTTGCAAAGGGCAATAGTTGGACGAAACCTTTTCTGGACATTAGCGCCTAATGAAGATAATGGGGCGACATATTTAAAAAGGGTTCTTCCTCTCCAACGCCCAAAACACCGAAATCTAAAGGCTTTGTGCCAAGTCATCTCCTAGAGGTTTGGGTTTTGGGTTTCCTGCCTTGCTGCTTTTCCGTTTGACATGTAATTTTTAATAAGCACCGTTTTCCGCACAAATTTCCCTTTTTCATGTGGGTCTGTCTCTTTGTCTGCAGTTATCTGTGACAAGGTCGGGAAAAAAGAAAAGAACGGAATGGGATGGAATGGAAAGTAATGGAGTGGGGTATGTGTCACACATGTATCCTTAATACGAAGGCGGAACAAAACAAACCGTCAGTGCAAGAAATGTCTAATGTCTAACCTCAGGCTTCTGTGACTTTTGTGAGCGTTTGATCGATAAGCGAAGCCGGCCTGACAGCTCCTCCCTCCAGGAACCTAGCCTTATAAAGCCCAAGATATCCCCACCATATATGGGTTCCTTTGGTTGGGAACGAGAACGCGTGTTCCCAATGATTAAAACGCGCTCATGAAGACAAAGTCTGTGCTTCTGCTCCTGCTTAATTAATAACAACCCAAATAATCGGGCTAGAACATGGGGCGGTGCTATCAGCTCGTATAATTAAAGTCAAAAATTTGCATAATTTATGTTTATTGGTGACGCCCCATTGGTTGGGCTGCCAAGCCATCGGCCCTCGCCTCGGGGTAGCTATAAGCTATAAAATTACAAAATAATCATAGTTTGTCGTTGCTCTCCGTACCCTTGTGTCATCGAATCCATTTCCGTTTGGGTTCGCATTTTTGTAAGGGTTTTATGTGGTAACCAGAAATCAACAGCCCCACCAGATTCATAAAATAGGCACCGAATATGTACGACTTTAACGACCTGCAGCTCTAGACGTAATAAAAAACCCATTTATGGGCAAGAGCACAAAAGGTATGTACATGTGTTCGTGCCCGGGGGGTAAAAAAAAAATGCCCATGGCCGTTCTTCAAGCAGAAATAAATTTGGTAAATGATTATTGAAAAGCAGAGCCATCGTAAAATAATGGCCGAGAAATCAAAGAAACTGGCCTTGCTGTCAATTATTTATTACAGAATTTCCAGGGGAAATATGTCGTTTTGTCAGGGTAAAGAAAGTCCAAGTTATTATTAGAAAATAAAATACAGAAAAAAGCACTCAGGAAAAGAGATTTGATAATAAGGAAAAATATTGATTAAATTAAAAAAAATGTGAGCAATAAACTAAAACTAGTAAACTAAAGTAAACTAAACTTTTCTGAGTTTCTTATAGACAATTTTTTACTCCTCAAGTACATTTATTATTTAATTTTTCTATTAATCATCTAATGTCATAATTTTATTATCATCATCTTTAAAAGTAATTTCTACTGCACATTTAAAAGGAATTTACTAATTGAAAATGCTACTTTAATAGAAGATCCACAAGAGTAAGCAAGAAAATAAACAAACATATTCCCAATAAAAACAGACAGCCAATTATTTTTTAAACCAAAGTGCATTGTATGTTTTCCGACATGCAGCATATTGGCCAACTAACAATGCAAATATGAGTGCAGAATGGCCAGGACCTGAGTGTTTAGTGGAAAACTAATTTCCAACACAATGGAGTGGCAGTGGGGGAGCGCTGATATGACCAAATATGTAAATAAACATTTCAAATTGAATTTTGAAATTGTGTCAGCATAATGGGCTCTAATATTGCATTATGATGATAAATTGTTAAATTTACAAATCAAAATTACATATTACTGAAAGTGAAGCTGAGTGGCGAGGCAAGTCAACGTTGCACAAACAACAGCAAGGCAATCAGGCTGTGATATTTAAATGCATATTAGCAAGCACACACAGACACAGGAGGTACTGGGGGTACATGAATATTTATGATCACTTAGGCCAAGAACTGAGGAGCAAAGTTTGTTTTGTAATTGAAATTTTGCTGTGCCTCTTGTGCAATTAAATGCAGACGAAATGGCCAAGGACTTTAAAGTTTAAGCCTGCCAGAGATACTTTTCACTAGGTCTAGTCTGAAGAAGGGTTAACTTTCGCTCTCTTTATGAGAAGGAGCCCTTTGTTTGATCCACCCGATGCCCATTAAAATCCAGGCCTCGGCTGCCTTCGCCTGCCAGCGTTTTTATTTAATAAATAAAACGTATTTTCCTTTGCCTTTCGGCCATATGCGAAGAAACGGCGGAAAGCGGAAAGCGCAGAAGGCAAAGACAAAAGGCGGGCGGGCAGCCCACAATATTATAAATGTATACATATACATATTACGCATACGCCCAGTGCTGCTTTAATATGCATATGCAGGAGTGATGGGTGGGTGAAAAGTGGGAAAGTGGGTAAGTGGGAAAATGGGGAGTCAGTGGTTAGTGACGCGTTGGGGCAAAAACTGTTTTCGCTGGCGCTTTAATGAGTTTGCCATTGATTTAGGCGTGCCAGCCAATCCATGCGGCCTTATATCCTGCCATCCGGCCATGTTTTGTGTTTTGAGTGCCAGGACCATGGGTTTTCGACCCCGGCCATCCTAGCTCGTCATAATTTATGCGCGAAGCATGTTCAATTTGATGGGCGACATTCCAAAACCATTTGTGTGTGCGAGCGAGGGACCCTTATTTCCTGGCCAGCTGGCCATATTTACCTTTAAGCCGAACGCACTGCGACCAATTTCACTATTCACTTTAAATTATCGGCTACGGATGCGAGGGGATTTTTCGGTTTGACCACGAAAGCGCGACGAAATATTTAATATGTTGACAAAAATCACAGATAATTTAATTGCAAATGCTTTGCTTTATTTATATGTACGTAATACGTAGGTATGAGTTTTGCCTTAAAATTTATTGTAATTGTGAATTATGTATGCTACTTTTTCAGGCCCATTTGTAATTACAAATGACAGCCGTGTTATATGGGTTTTAATTTTATTTTTTTTTTTTTATATATCGTTAAATTGCTGTTCGGTATGTTTCTTAGCTTTGACGTCGTGCTGTGCAATTAATTCACTTTTTCACACCACATGCACTCTGCCATTGTGCAATTGATTGATTTCCATTCGAACAAGCTCGTCGAGTGGAGTGGAGTTTTTTGGTGGGGGCTTTGGACAGTGTTTGGATTTAGTTTGCAGCTTTTGCAGCACTTCTTGAACTTTTGCAACCGGCAGCCGCGACGCGAAAACAACGAGGATATAACAATTGCAACAAATATATAACAAGGATAAAAGTAATTGCAGCTTCGATATCTGGCTTGGTATATTTAATATCCAGTTGATAAGTTTATTACACGATATGTTGCACTGGGCGATATGATCGATTGCTGGGATTATGTTGGGGAACACACTTTAATGGCAGTTTAAACTTGCGATTCAGTCAGGAGTTCAGCGGTCGAATTTTCAAACGCTTGCGCGGCCTCTCCTTCATCTTTGGTCGCATAATTGAATTTTAATTGACTCGATTCCGGGCCGGTCGGTTCAGTTAGGCGAGCATATTTCATTTGGCCATATAAATCACTTTCGTTTCTTGCGGCTAAGCCAGCACCAGGGCTTCATATGCAGTTGTTTTTTTCGGGGCAATGGTAGCTAAATCGGGAGCAGTAGTAGAGGTAGTACCAGCTGCCACCGCCGCACACACGACGTCCGAAAAACAGGACGAAGACGGGCAGGACGAAGATGCAGGCAAAGACGATGAAGACGACGAGGACGAGGACGAGTACCGAGTACCGCACGGCAGCAACGAAAAGCTCATCTTAAACCCGGCCGCGTGGCCATCTGAACTGCTGGGAAACGCGAACGCAACTGAAAAGGTAAACGCACTCGCAGCCCAAGGAGGCCCATCAAATCACAGCAATCTGTTCGGGCCACAGACAACACATTGGGCCTCGTGCCAGCCGCTCGTTTGCTGAATTCTAACGAGTGCTGAATGGAGAACTGCGAGTCGAGTGAGTCCAACACGGCCAACGGGGGGTATACGCAATGTTTTTAGAGTGCTTGAGTGTGACTCAAGCCCACATGGCGTATACGCCAAAGGGAAGTGCTCTCAAGTTCTGAGTGGGTTTGGTTGAGTGAAAAGCAAGTGGGGGTGGTTTAAGTGCGCCTGAGTGGCTGCCAACTTCTGCCGCCAGATGGCCTGGTGGCGCCACTTAAGGGTGACTCAACAGTAAAGTGGTGAAAAGCTTTCAGCGTTGCTGAATGGAATTACACAGAAAAAAAATGTTATATATTTTAAAAATTTTACATAATGTTCTAATCCAAAGACCTAATCCTAGTAATGATATCAAAAAGTTCTGATATCAAGAGTTCTAAGCAAAAACGAGTTTTTGTAATGGTAGGAACAGAATTTAAAGTTAATATGTAAAATCTAAAATGATGCAATCCAATATGCTATAATCATTACAAGAAAAATTCAGAGATTGAGAAATTTAGGTCATCTTTTTTCAAGAATAAACCAGTACTTTTCTGACCCCATATTAAAAATCCACTTATAAGAGATTTCTAAATACTACACCTTTTGGTAATAAAATGCCACTTCAATTAAATCTTAAAGTTAATTTGTAAATATCTAAAATGATGCAATGCAATATGTTATTATCATTACAAGAAAAATTCAGAGATTGAGAAATTTAGGTCATCTTTTTACAAGAATAAATCAGTACTTTTCTGACCACAAATTAAAAATCCACTTAAAAGAGATTTTTTAAATACTGCCCCTTCCGTAATAAAATGCCACTTCAATTAAATCTTGGGCAATTGATTAGTATCCCCTTGTACGTTACGAAAATTATTCCCCTGCAATAGATCGCAGATCAAAGGTAATCAAACTGGCAGCCGCCAGAACTTACCTCGAACTTGCCGCCAATAATGGAGCCCGCCTGGCCAATATACAGGGTGGATGCGGAATCGAAGACCAACTCGATGGGCTCCCTGGTCACCTGAGTGGTGTTGCGCAGCTCGCAGTCGTAGTAGAAGGAGACCTTGTCGCTGAGCACCTGAAGGGCAATCGAGTTCCACTTGTCCGGCACATGAGCCACGCCGAAGCTGGCCAACTTGCGGCCGATGTTCTGGTCCGCCTGCGTGTAGACCAGCGATACGTTGTAGCTGTTCTTCACGACGGGCGACAGGTGAACGCCCAGCTGGACGACCGTGTCCAGGGGATTCACCACGCTGAACAGGTAGCCGCCCTTCAGCGAGCTCTGCCGGAAAGTGATGAGGATGGCGAACTCGTAGAGCTTCTCCGGGAGGAGCATGCGGTACGGCGACTTTACGTCCGCCGTCTGCAGGAACCGGAAGGCCGGGAAGCCGTCCTCCGCCTCTCCGAACTCGATGCCCGCAAATTGGTTGTTGTTCATGATGTCCGTCAGCGTGTATTCGGCCAGGGCATCTGAAAGAGTCGAAAAAGGTGCGCTTTAGGTCTCACTAATTGCAAAACGGAGGGTAATCGCTCTTTATTGCAGTTTGGGAGGCATTGAACTGCGATTAGGGATTTCCTAAAAGTATGCTACACTTTAGACGGACACTTTTGCAGCCCCTAAATATGCAATAAATTATTAAGTCTAAGAAAAAAATGTGTTTAAATAAATTATACATTTTATAAGTTATTTATTAATAACATAATTAAAATAATCATAGTATATCATGAAATAAATCATTTAGTTTCACAATTATTTGATCATAAACGTAGTATTTTCATAGGAAAAATAATTTTGTTCTAATTTTTGAAGAATTTTTAAGTTAAAACGTTTAACAAATAATATTAATAAACCTACCTTTGATAGACTGTCCTATCAGCTCAAAAGAACCGAGGGCTGGAGCCAGAAGCGTAGAAATCAGGACAAATACCAGCATTAAAACACGCATCTTGATCCGAGCAGGGATGCTGAAAAAAAATATTAAATAAAATTATCATCAATCTGTAAATCTGTAAAATTATGAGATTAAAGAGGGACTTCCGTTGCATTCGGTAATTCATACCCAAATGTGGCCAGCTCAAATTGCACCCACAAACAATTCCCTCAAACGGACACTTGTGCGTGGAAATAAACCAACCGCAGACACTTTATCCGCCGCCCGCAATTATGGGCACCAGTATTGGCAACACGAGTCGCACACTTGACTCAATACTGAAATTATATGCACACGGGCATCCCTCGGTTTTGGCCCACTTGGCTGGCCATATTTTGTAATTACCTCCCTGCAAACCGCAAAGCCCTTGTCCCATCCCCATTCCCATTCTCAATTCCATTCCCATTCTGATTTCCATGGCACCGCACACACCCAAAAGATAGTTCATCTGGAAGCCACACAACTTTGCGGTCGGTCTTCATTCATTGGCTAACGAAAATCGCAGTCTTCAACGGAAAAAACTATGATTCATTCATTGGGTTCGAAGCAGGCAGATCGCCCGGCAAGATTACAAAAACTAATGGTAATTAGGAAGGGCAGATCGCTACACACAAAATAAATAAGATTGTTCCCTGAACTTTTTATTTTTTTAGGATAATTTGGCTTGTAATTTTGGGGAAAAGTCAGACATAAGTTTAAATTACTAACCATAAAAATATGTTTTATATCAAATTATGAAATTAAATCTTTAAGGATTACTTAAAAAAAATGATTTCAAAATCTATACAAATTATAATTATTTAAAAAACTTGTATGTAAGAGATTTAAGTTGTGTAAAGTGCATAAAAATCAGTTTTTCGTTTTAAACGTTAAATAAATAATAATCAAAAATAATTTCCTGTGTATCTGTTTGCTTACAATGTTTGGGACACACCTAGAACTCAAAAGAGCCGAAGATCAAAATTACTTTGTTTATGGGGTTCACTGTGTCAGTTGGAATGTCAGAGATCAATGTGAATCATTATCCCATAAATACACATTTTGTCAAGTCTTAATCGCACGGCCAATAAATCATTTTTTGATCCCAGCTTCTACATGTTGCGTAATTATCCGTGGCCAAGGGCAGCTGATAAACCCAGTCTATTCAAAGTTTTAAAGAAACTATGTATGGACCCAATTATGAACCATGTGTATTATAATATAACACAATAATATAACACAATTAATGGGCGCCAGTTACCCAGCGAATGCAGATCCAATGTACAGATACAATTTACATTCGGAAACTATGTCGCTGACCCCGAACTGTCTGTGGGCAATTAATATTTATCAAACGCAACTTGGCAGCCCAACAATAAGAACCGAACAAGAAAAAACATTTGGAGACAACACTTTCACGCCGAATGCAAATTACTTTCAATTGTGAGCATTAAGTAAAAGTGTATTCATGTCTCAATTAGTCGGATGACAGCTCCCTCAAAACATTTCGGCAATCGATTGGTCTTTAAGTATCAACGAAACTACAGAAAATGAGAACTTGCAACAGACCGCTAATCTATATCTTGAATTGTGTGCATATTATACATCCTCTATATGAGCTATTTTTCATGAGAAAAGTCATAAAGAATGATTAACTATAAATTAGCAAGAAAGTGTATAAAAACAACAATTTAATGGCATTCAGTTTATTAATAAAGAATATAGAATGTGTGGTTATTGCATAAAAATTAATAACATTAACTTAAAAATATAGATAAATTCAAAATATGCAACAATTTTGTTCTTCTTGCACTGATCAGGAATACTAAAAACATTGCTTTTAAAATGGTTTAAAAATCTAAAACAACATCAGAGTTGTTTTGCTTGGAAGTTTCTTTAAAAATAGAAAATTAAACAGCCGTCACGTGCAAAAAAAAGTGTCCAATTGCGTCACGTATAAAAAAAAGAATTACTTCAGCTTTCGTTGCGAACGCAGCCAGAATAAAAAAATATTGTATTCCCAAACATTTGGCTGTCTCTTTTTTTAACCAGCTAAACATCAAGTGCTGTCTACATATGTGCACTTACATCATTTTTGGCCGACAGACTTCCTACTCCAAACAGCTTGTACAGCAATCTGCTCCAGCCACTTAATGGCATCATTAGGCGCCAAAAACAAACAGCCATACAAATTGAACAATCCCCGCAGAGGAATTTGATTTTCAAGCATTATCATACGAATTCCTGGCGATTCTCGTTGTGTGTCTTTCCTGTTTCTTGGCATTCTCACAATTGGCTCCCTGACATAATGAGGCAACGTTTATGCAGTTCACAGACGGAAAGCCGCCAGCACGTGCAACATGGACCGCGTGGCCAATGTCAGAGGCGACCCCTTCTGGCCTTATTCCACCGCCCAATACAGATTCCCACTCCTAATGGAGATCCCCCCCCCAAACATTCGCACAATTTGGTTTGCTTAAATAGTTTTTTTTAGCCGAAAAATCAATATTAACTTATTAAGCATTGAAATAAGATTTATTAGATTAAATATATACAAATAAAATCTTTAATTCTACACCCAAAAAAAACTCGATATGAATCGTAGGTCAATTTGACCTTTTTTAAGATCATTTTTAACTTGATATGGGGCCAGGTAAATGTGATATGTTCGAAATGTAAGAAATCTTATTTCTGACCAAAACGTACACTAGTGCGAGCGAGAAAACATGCTTGAAGTACGTCAGTTCGAATTTCGAATCAGTCTTTCTCGCTTCCACTCATGTCATTTTATTCGCCATATTGATTCTTGCGCTCTTTTTCGAAGTTAGAGAATCTCCGAGAGAGAGAATTCGGCAAAATGATATTATTTAATGTAAATTTTATGAATATTTCAGGTAAAAACGATATGAGTAGGAATAACCAGAAAATTACCTGGACTTATCGATTTTACGGCGACGTGCTTT